GACAAATTTTATCTTTATATTGCATAACATTAACATAGGTTTATAATTATACTAATATATCTGTCTTAAATTCTGTAAAAAATAAAAAGTAGAATTACAAATCAAAATACAAAAATGCTGTTTTTTATATTTGTTTGTGCATTTGCCTTTTCCAGAGCTCTTCATATTTTCATATGACTCTAAGTTACCGTCTAGCATCTTTTCATTTTAACTTGAATGTTCCCATTATCATTTCATGTAGAACAAGTCTGTGGTAATAAACTCCCTCAGCTCTTGTTTGTTTAAGGAAATCTTAATTTTGCTCTCATTTTTGAAGGACAGTTTGCTAGTTATAGAATTGAAGTTAGAAAATTTTTCTCTTCACCAGTTTAAATACATAAATATATCATCTCACTGCCTTCTGGCCTGCAAAGTTTCTGCTGAGAAATTTGACAGTCTTATTGGGGACTCTGCTAAGTTTTTGATACCTAGAACTTTATTTTTCTACTCCTAATTTAATCTACCAGAATTGAGTCTGTTTAATGTTTTTTAGGAGTTTTAATATATACTAGTTAACATTTTTTATCATTTGAAAACTTTTGTTTTTATTTTCTCTACCTAATTAATATTACTGATGTAATCAATTATATGATGTCCCAATAAAGCTAATCAAAATGAAACAAAACAAAAACTCATTCTCTCAGTAGCATATGACTTAAAGAAGTATTACTCACACTGGGTGGGGTAAGGTGGGAATTGATTAGGCAACAACCATCAACTTGGCTTTTTTGCCTCTCTCTCTCCTCTTCTATCAGGCCAGACCAGGGATATTTTCATGGCGATGGCAGAAGTATGAGAGGCCAGATCCATAACATGCAAGCCCATTTCAAGCCTCTGCTTGCATTAGGTCTACCAGGGTCCTATTTTCCATGGCAAACTGTATGTTTGTGCCCATATCAAGAAATGAGGCAAATCACTGATTTATGATAGTAGAAGAATGACTCAAAAGTTACAGGGAAAATGGCATGGATTCAAGAAAGAGTGATGAATTGGAGGCACTCTTATAATCGAGTACACCAACCAGTTTTCCTTTTATTTTACGTTGTGTAGAATATACCTCCCCCATTTCTTTAAAACTTCCTGTGTGCTTCTTAAACTTACAGCTAAGTATTATTTAGAAATATTATTTAAATTCTAGTTAGTTAACATACAATGCAGTGTTGGTTTCAGGAGTAATTTTAGTGATTAATCACTTACAACACCCAGTGCTTATTTTTTGAATGAAATCTGAGATTCTTTGCTTTTTAATGGACAATTTTTATATAATTACATAACTTTATGTATCATATATGTTTTCTTCTCTAGTGTAATTGTGTCATTTTGTTTCATGTTTTCTGTTTTTTCATTTTCTTATCTTTTGTGTATATACACTATTTGCTATACTTTTTTTTAGCGTGTACAAAGTTATGAGTACTGTTTTATATAGCACAGTGGTTAACATTAAGGTTTTCAATATCTTTTTAAAGCCACACTTACCTGTTTATTAAAATTTTTAAAAACTGACGTCATTTGAATCCCCCAGTTAAGGAATTTTTGTACCACACTTACTTTCTCTATACTCCTTTTAACCTATAGTCCCAATAAAGCTAATCAAAATTAGCTTTTACTAATTTTGACTTATACTAATAATTAAATATTCTTAGCAAACATTTGAATAAGAACGCCTTTGATATTGCATGTATGTTTCACTCAGTTTTATAATATATACCTATTTCCATGTGAACTTTTGATCTTATAGTAATACTATGAGTTTCTGTGAATCTTGTCTTCAGTAAATCTGACATTTATTTACCAGCGATGATGTCAGGAACTGTACTATGTCATTTATGAGTGGTGTACTTTAGGAAGGATATAAAATCATTAGGCCACAAACTTTTTTCCCTTATAACTTTCATTCATTACACTTTTATCTGTCTAATGTATTGTTTTGGAAGGCAAATCTGAAGTCATCATGACTTCATTCGTCTAATTTAACCTGGATATTCTGCCTTGATGTTTTTAGAATATTTTTCTCTTTCTCAGTTGGTTAAGCATCTGCCTTCAGCTCAGGTCGTGATCCCAGGTTCCTGGGGTGCAGTCCCATATCAGGCTCCTTGCTGAGCAGGGAGCCTGCTTCTTCCTCTGACTGCTGCTCCTGCTGCATGTGCACTCTCCTGCTCTCTCTCTCTCTGATCATTCAATCAATCAATCAATCAATCAAAAAAACCAAACTAGTTTCTAGGAAGCCTTTTCGTGAGTCTGATTAACTGCTTTGCTCTAGATTGTGATGTGTCTTTTCAGTTTGCACACCCTGGAATGCAGTTATTTCCTTAGTCATTATAAATGCAGCCCTCTCCCTCTCCAGTTCCTTCCCCCCAGGGCCACAGTGATTATTTTTAACTTCTTGTCACTTAATCATCACTTCCTGTCCCATATCTGTGTTTCCCTTCATAATTCAAATCTTTCTTCCTTCATTTCTTACTGTCAGGTGAGCATTCCATGTTTTAGCACATGTAATACAAATTTTTATTTTACACTTGCATTTTTTCTTTTCTTGAGTTGTAGTATCTCATTATTCCACTTTTCATTTTATGCTATTGTTTTTTTACCTCAGCAAATATTCTCTTGATGTCCTCCTATTTTTGAGACATGATTTTTCTTGTATAGGAATGAGAGTGCTATTGAATTTTCTGCAACTACTGCTACATCGGGCAGTAGATAATAGATTGCTCTGTTGATTGTTTCAGGTGATTTTGGTCCCTTACTTTATCAGAGAGATCCTATTTTTTATTCCTCATTACTCATCCGAGAGCCAGGTAAAATCTACCTTGGCCTGCAGTGGACCAGTAGTTTGGGTATATTGATTGCATTTGGCCTTTTCAGAGTTTCAGCTAATGGAAACATTTCAGATGGTGGAAAGATGGATGTACACAAGTCCCTATGCAATTTGTATAGTGTAGTAAGCAGTGATGTTGAACTGAGGTTTGATTTATTTCTCCTCTCCACTTCCTCATTCTCTAGTACTTAGGACAAATGAAGTTTGTTTCAAAGTTTTCACTTATCTGAGTATCTCTCACCTGTTAACCTGGGAACCAATTGTGCCTCTCCTTCACTTTCTTCCTCCTTTATCTTCTGAATAATTGTGATAATATCACATATATACTTTCCAAACTAAAAGGTAGGTTATAATTTGTGCATATTATTATGGATTTATCAAATACACATTATATGTCTGTAGTTTTAAATATATGTATATATAATATATATTTATTTTAAATATATTTGTAGTTTACTTAATCACATCACTGTTTCTGGGCATTTAAATCACTTCTATTTCTCCAGTGCTAAAATAATATATATTAGTTCATTTTTGCATGTTTAAATGGCTATTTTCTTGGGATAAATTCTTGAAGTAGAATTATTGGCATGAATTATATTAACAGTTTTGTGAATTTTTGATATAAATTGACAGATCGTTTCCCCTAATCTTTTAATAACTTGAACTTCCAGAAAGAGTATAAGCGTATGCTCATTAAAAAAAAAATTGGGATCAGGTACTTATGTTGAAAGAAATTACAATTCTGAGACTCTGTGAAAAAGAAAATTAAAAGAAGGCCATTGTTGGGGCGCCTGGGTGGCTCAGTGGGTTAAAGCCTCTGCCTTCGGCTCAGGTCATGATCCCAGGGTCCTGGGATCAAGCCCCACATCGGGCTCTCTGCTCTGCAGGGACCTTGCTTCCTCCTCTCTCTCTCTGCCTGCCTCTCTGCCTACTTGTGATCTCTGTCTGTCAAATAAATAAATAAATAAATAAATAAAGAAGGCCATTGTTTCACTGCCTACGTATGGCTATTGCTATTGATTTGGCTTAGTTATTTCATTCTGCTCAACTTCCTTCTAGGATAGATAGATGGTAAGAAAGGTAGGTAGGTAGGAAGGTAGGTTGATGGATAGGCAGACACATAGGATGCACACATCCATGAAAATACTATACGATCATATTTAAGATGTTTTAAGTGTTTGTGCAATTATGTATAATCCTGTTATTAATGTCTTTACATTTAATACAAATTGTTTATTTCATTAATATAAGTCCTAGGAAGAAAATAAGGAAGAACACATATTTTTAACACCTGTATGTTTACCATATAATTTCAATTTCAAAAGGAGGTTGTATCAACATATGCTCTCAGCATCCATGTCACAAATATTACGTATTAAAATAATTATGTATTAAATAACATATTAATATTATGTATTAAAATTTTTCTTTTTGTTGAATTTGATAGGAAGAAAATGATACCCTATTGTTTTGATTTGTATTTATTTGATCACTAGTTAGATGAAGTATATTTTCTTGAATGATTATTATCCATATATATTATTCTGCAGGATTTCTGTTAAGCTCATAATTAGTTTACTTTTATTGGTGGGCATAATACTTTCTTTACTAACAATGTATTTTTTAAAGATTTTATTTATTATTTGAGAGAGAGAAAGAAAAAGGGAGGGAGAGCGCTCATGAATGAGGTAGTGGGGGAGGAGCAGAGGGAGAGGGAGAAGCAGAACTCCCTGCCCAGGAGGGAGCCCCGTGTAAGGCTGGATCCCTGGACCCTGAGATCCTGATCTGAGAGCTAAAGGTAGGTGCTTAACTGACTGAGCCATCCCGGCGCTCCTTTACTAACAATAGTAATGATTTTGGTGATAACCATTGCTCTTTTGTACAGATAAAAAATAATTATTAATTTTTAACCAATCATTTCTTCTTGTATTTTATTAAAAAATTTTGGATGCTTCTTGTTCAAAGGGTCTTTTTACATAGTCAACACATTAAACATTGTCGTTGCTCAGAGTATCATGTGGAAATACTAATGAAATAAAATCCTCACTCCAAGTTCAAATCTGTTCTTTGTAACAGCAATAGAAATTGTATCAAATACTCTCCCAGTACTCAGCTTGACTGATTTTTTTTTTTCTTATTTCAGAGAATAAAAGATCATGCCTTCAATTCTCTCATCTGGGTATAAAGGATTCCCTCAAAGATTTGTTTTCTCCCCAAATGGAGATTTCCTTAATGATGTATACAAGGAACAACTTCAACTGTGCTGAGCCACTCTTTGAGCAGAGTAACTCACTTAACATTAATTTCAACGTCAGCAAGAAAACAGTCTGGCTTATTCATGGGTACAGACCAATGGGCTCTGCTCCTACATGGCTTCAGAACTTCCTAAGGGTTTTGTTGAATCAAGATGATATAAATGTAATTGTAGTAGACTGGAACCGGGGTGCTACAACTCTCCTTTACAACAGAGCAGTTAGAAACACCAGAAAAGTTGCTGTGAGTTTGAGTAGCTACATTCGGAATCTTTTGGTAAGAATTTTATATATTCTATATGTTTTATATTATACAGTATTTTGTGCAATACCACCAAGTAGTAGTAAGATAAATACTTTTTTCCCATACACATTAAGAATTACTGCTTTGAGGGGCGCCTAGGTGGCTCAGTTGGTTAAAGCCTCTGTCTTCTGCTCGGGTTGTGATCCCAGGGTCCTGGGATCGAGCCCTGCACTGGGCTCTCTGCTCAGCAGCGAGCCTGCTTCCCTTCCTCTCTCTCTGCCTGTTGCTCTGCCTACTTGTGATCTCTCTCTCTGTCAAATAAATAAATAAAATCTTTACAAAGAAAGAATTAATTTCATTTAATACTTATATTAAATATCGTTATAAAGTTTGGTTATCCCAAATGTATAGATAAGTAAATGAGGCAGAGAGATTAAGCAAATGCTTAAAGTCACACAGAAGATAAGAGGTAGATTTGATCTCTGAACTCTTCCAGTCTGACTCCTGACCATTACATGCAAACGGCTTCTTGGATCTGGTGAACTTGCTTAATTTCAGGGAGCCTTGGAAATTCAGCACAACACAACTCAAAACAGATGTCAAGCCCCAGAATGTTCCAAATCAGAAATCACCCTTCTCTCAAGTGCTCATCACCACCACATCTCTCTCTGTAACAGACACTGATCTCCATATGGTTTGACATAGTCAATGTAGATCATTCAAACTGCAGGTGACCTAAAACTGGCCTGAATGTAACTGACTCACCCCAACCCTGCTCCTAAATCCTCGACAAATCTAAATGGTACTAAGAATTCCCTCCAAGGTCAGCAGAAGTATGCTACTTTTCAAGATGTTTTTCCCCTCACTTTTACCAGTTCACACTTGATTTAACTATAAACACCTTGGCCATACCTTAGAAAGGATATCTAAAGAACCTAATGATTGCCTAGTTTATCCCTTGATCCACATGGAATCACTACCCTAACATCAAGTCAGTATAGGTAGAGTTTAAAATAATTAAAAATTTTTAAAAGATTTTATTTATTTATTTGACAGAGAGAGAGAGACACACTGAGAGAGGGAACACAAGCCAGGGGAGTGGGAGAGGAAGAAGCAGGCTTCCCGCTGAGCAGGGAGCTGGACACTGGGCTCAATCCCAGGATCCTGGGATCATGACCTGAGCTGAAGGCAGGTGCTTAACGACTGAGCCACCTAAGTGCCCCTAAAAAAATTAAAATCAAAAAGATTTAAAGACAAAACATCATAACTGAGTCTTTAAGATTTTTTTTTTTCAATAAGACAGTACCTACATAACTAGGTACAGAATTATATCCATCTATACAAATTAAAAAAGATGGCTATAAATGTTAGCATGTCAAAGCAATAGTGCTTTTTGTATTTGTTTGTTTAAAGGTTTTATTTCTTTATTTGACAGAGAGAGAGATCACAAGTAGGCAGAGGCAGGCAGAGAGAAAGGGGGAAGCACCCACTGAGCCACCCAGGCACCCATGAAATTAATTCTTAACCAGTACCTGGCATATAATAATCATTGAATATAATCAGGAACAGTATAATTTTTACATCCCCCAATTTGGACAAAACCAAACCATCTCTCTGGGGAGACAGTGGAGGTAATTGATTCATCTGTTTTTATAGTCTATAAACTTGATGTCTGTCTTTTTCCCTTACAGTAGTTAAGTATACATGGCTTTGGGCAACTCGTTATCAAACGATGTTAATCAATATTTAATAGATTCCAGGAATAGTTTGAGGCAATAGGATAAAAATAAATACCTCATAAGACTAATGTGAATATTAAATATGAGATTTACAAAGCACTTATTCAAGGTAAGTACCCTAAAATGTCTACTACCATTATTACAAAACTCTTTAACTAAATGTATTTTTTTGCATCTACTAGTTTAGGTAACAGATAACAAAGATTTTTAAAAATGTACTGGTATTGCTAAGAGTGTATAGAGAAAAATCAGATCTCTTATGGAAAATGTTGAACAAAGATATAGTTGTTTTCAAATTATAAAATCCCATTCTCCATCTCCCACAAATGTATTAAACTAAGGAAAAAAATAACAAATTCTAGAATATTGATGTGCAGGGCATAATTTGTGATTTCTGAAATGAAAATCGTAACATTGCATTTTCACTTGCAGGATCATGGGGCATCTCTTCATAATTTTCATTTCATAGGTATGAGCTTAGGGGCTCATATTAGTGGATTTGTTGGAAAGATATTTCAAGGTCAACTTGGAAGAATAACAGGTAAAATATTTTTTGATAAAATGTGTTTTAGCATTCTTTAAAGCATCAGAAGTTATTCTGTTTAAAAGTTATCAGTCATAATAATTAGTAGAAATGACACACATTTATTCTTTTTCTGTATTATATTCAAATGCTAGGCTTTGTTTTAGTTAGATTCTAAAGTCTTGTTTCTTACTTAGTTCTTAACAGAGTTGAAGTACTCCTATAGAAATGGGATGAAGAAAATAAATTTCTGCAACCCAAGTGAATTTTTTTTTTAAGATTTTATTTATCTATTTGACAGACAGATCACAAGTAGGCAGAGCGGCAGGCAGTGAGAGAGAGGAAGGAAAGCAGGCTCCCTGCTGAGCAGAGAGCCCGATGTGGGGCTCGATCCCAGGACCCTGAGATCACAACCAGAGCCAAAGACAGAAGCTTTAACCCACTGAGCCACCCAGGTGCCCCTCCCCAAGTGAATTTTAAGGACACATTATTGTAACAATCCAGAGGAAAATTTGACCCATTAAATATAGAACTTTTTTCATGTACTAACTAAATATAGAACCATGTACTTAAGCGTAACTGGATGGCTCAGTCATTAAGCATCATCTGTATTTGGTTCAGGTCGTGATCCTAGGGTCCTGGGATTCAGCCCCGCATCAGGCTACCTGGTCAGCAGAAAGTCTGCTTCTCCCTCTCCCACTTCCCCTGCTTGTTCTCTCTCTCTGTCTGTCAAATAAATAAATAATACCTTTAAAAAAAAAAAAAAAAAGAACCATGTCCTTAATTTTCATAAACTTTGACACATTCCAATTATTTTAAAAATTTTATTTGAACAGCAGAAGAGAGAATCAGGAGTTGATATCCCAGATTGAGGGAGTCTAGATCCTGATACCCCTCATACTTTCGTGACAGAATTCCTGCGTCCAGAAAGCTTAGTAACCAAATAATGCTGACATGGATTTTCATGCTTCCATTTGGGAATGGTGGTGACTTTAGAATAGAAAGATCATATCCCTCTCCAGTCAATTCAGCTTTTTGACAACTATTGAGATCTGTGTCCATAGAAGATTTATAATGATTTCAAGTGTTAATAAAAGTAATAGAGTAATAAGTTAAGCAAAGGGGGCAGGGAGAGGTGAATAAATTGCACAGATAGGATATTTACCAACCTTAAGTATAAACTTACTATCCTTATTCTGATCAGTTTTAATATTATCCCCATTATTCAGGTGTGAAAACAGGTAAATGGAATGAATGTAGGGGGAAGGGGTCAAAAAGTTTTGAACAGCTAAGCCAGGATTTATACAGAATTTTCTAGCATCCAAAGCCCATTCTGTTTCAACCACCATAGTCATCCTACTTTATGTTAAGATGTGTTTACTTGGGGCACCTGGGTGGCTCAGTGGGTTGAAGCCTCCGCCTTCTGCTCGGGTCGTGATCCCAGGGTCCTGGGATCGAGCCCTGCATCGGGCTCTCTGCTCAGCAGGGAGCCTGCTTCCCTTCCTCCCCTCTCTCTCCCTGCCTCTCTGCCTACTTGTGATCTCTGTCTGTCAAATAAATACATAAAATCTTTAAAAGAAAAAAAAAAAAGATGTGTTTACTCACACTTTATTCCAGTTCAATTGACTCCATAGGCCAAGCAATCCTCAAGGTTTAAAAGTCCAGCAAATGTGGTAGTTCTACATCAGAATTATTCATGAGAAGAGAAATTTCTGCCTCATTCAGTTAAGTGAGCTTAAATAAACTAGGATAGGAGAGGGGCTTGAGATGAGCAACATTATATTTTAGTTTTTAAAAATATCTTTTTGAGATGATTGTATCTTCCATTGCATAGAAGTTCTCAAGTTGTTGAATTTTACCTCCTTCCCACACCCTCACCTTTTTAACACACGCCAGTAGGTCATGAGCCTAGAATTTCTATTTAAAATTTCAAATACGGGGCACCTGGGTGCTCAGTCAGTTAAGGGTCTGCCTTTGGCTCAGGTCATGATCTCAGGGTCTTGGGATCGAGTCCCATGTGGGGCTCCCTACTCCACAGAGTGCCTGCTTCTCTCTTTCCCTCTGCTGCTCCCCTTCTTATGCTCTTTCTCTCTCTGTGTCAAATAAATAAAATCTTAAAAAAAAAAAAACACCAAAATTTCAGATACACCAGAAATAATATCTATAGGCCATGGAACTCTTAGTACATTTTTCTTTTCTTGTGTGTATGTGGGAAACTTTTGTGAAAAATGAATGATAAGATAATAGTATGTTTTATGCCACATCCCAAATTGTATTTGGCACTTAAAAATCATATTAGAACTGCAGATAGATCTGGGATGAACTAATAAGGCATGAGGTTCAAGACAGGACCAAGATATTACTCATTTCCCCTCCCTCTCAGGACAGTAATAGTTACTTATTATTAACTATAAAGTTACTAGCGATTTATCTGTAAGTACTACTTCTTTTTTTCCTTTCTTTTTTTTGTTTTTGGTTTTGTTTTATTTTTGTTTTTTATTTGACAGAGAGACAGTGAGAGAGGGAACACAAGCAGGGAGACTGGGGGAGGGAGAAGCAGACTTCCTGCTGAGCAGGGAGCCCGATGTGGGGTTTCATCCCAGGACCCTGGGACCATGACCTGAGCCGAAGGCAGATGTCTAACGACTGAGCCACCCATGTGCTCCTATGCCTAAGTACTTCTTAAGTAAAAATGCTAAGAAAATAAAACCTACAGTTTTGTTGAGGCATCTCTAAGTGTGGCTTAACATTAGATTGTTGATAAACTGACGATTGGTGAAAAGTATCATTCAGATAACAAAGATATTTGCTATTCATCTAGTTTCATTTATCTTAATATTAGTTTTTGCACAAGTTTAAGTTAAAACTATATAGACATGCTTATAATGTAATAATAATGCAAACATACGATCTAATAAACACTGTAGCAGGAATTGATTTATCGACTGATAGTTTCTTTCTTGAATTTCAGGTCTTGACCCTGCTGGGCCAAAATTCTCTGGAAAATCACCTAATGACAGATTAGCTTACACCGATGCGAAGTTTGTGGATGTTATCCATTCTGATGCCAATGGTAACAATGTAGGATTTATTGCTAAATTATTTGAAAATGAAAAGTTGTAGACATTGGGGAGGATGAGAACATAAAAAGGCAAAGAGTAGTGGGTAAAGTGACAATGAGTCATTATTATAAATTATAAACTATTATATATTATATATTATAAATTATTATAAAATATAAATTATTATAAAATAATTCTATTTCCCACAAGCAAAATACATCATATTTCTTGGAGTTCGTGATGTCAAATGGCAATTTTTGCCATCCGCTTACCCTCTTTCCGGGTTCAAGGACTGATCTTATCATCCTAAAAAATGGAAACTTGATAAAAAGTACTTCCTCACCTTGTTCATGCTGTTGCAATTTTATTTTATTTTATTTTTTTTTAAGATTTTATTTATTTATTTGACAGAGAGAGATCACAAGCAGGCAGAGAGGCAGGCAGAGAGAGAGAGGAGGAAGCAGGCTCCCTGCTGAGCGGAGAGCCCGTCGCGGGACTTGATCCCAGGACCCTGAGATCATGACCTGAGCCGAAGGCAGCGGCTTAACCCACTGAGCCACCCAGGCGCCCCGTCAATTTTAATTGATCAGAGTTTCTCCCATGCTTGATGTTCCTGCTGTATTTAGGTTCCCATTCTCTCTACTCACTTTCTCATGTGATGTGTATCAAATAGAAGTGAACATACTATTTCAGGCACAGATGGAGATTACCCTCCCGTAAAGACAGGGAAATAATTTCTCTATTGTTTTTAATTGTATTCCTGAAAATGTCCAACAGGCTGTTGGTAGTTTGAGCCTGAGTGCTTTGGATAGAGACTTACAAGGAAGAATTTAGATGGCCCCGAGGCCCTTACTCATATGAAATTGATGATACTGCTATTTATTGAGCACTTCCTATACCTTACGAAGTGTTTTAGATGCTTTCTGTGAATGAATTACGTCATTCTCCTGAGTCCCCATGAGATAAGGAAATATCATCCCCTTTTTATTGCTGTTCGGGAAGCTAGGGTCACGGCCACAAGTGTCAGAGCCAGAATTTGGAATCTTATGATTCCAGAGTCTACGCCTCCCCAGTTTGTTGCTCTGACCAGCTGATAATTTACATGTGCTGTGGCTGTGGGCATGGGCAGGATACGGGGCTACCATGGAGAAGCGAGGAAGCCATGCTAAGGCTGTTCTGATTTCCCTGTTTCCTCAGGTTTCTTTTCTCTTTGGTCCGGGTAATTTATTTGCTCCCATAGTCCTCTCTTGTGGTGATTCATACCAATTCCTTTGTGAGAGATACAAATGCCATAGATGCCACAGAGCACAACTTTTCAGCTTCTATGGCTACATGCCAGGGGACTGAGCCTCTCTTTGCCTATCATTCTGTTCCTTCTTTGGAATCCAAGTTCACTTATTTATCCCACACACAGTGCACCTGCTGCCCAGTTCTCTGCAGTTCTCTGAGCTCTTGTTTCTGAAATCCCAACTTCAGCTTTGCCTGTGGCCTTTGAATTAGCTCTTCATACTTTTTTATTATTTTTCTTTTTTTTTTTTTTTAAGATTTTATGTATTTATTTGGCAGATAGCGATCACAAGTAGGCAGAGAGGCAGGCAGAGAGAGAGGAGGAAGCAGGCTTACTGCCGAGCAGAGAGCCCGATTCGGGGCTCGATCCCAGGACCCTGAGATCATGACCTGAGCCGAAGGCAGAGGCTTTAACCCACTGAGCCACCCAGTTGGCCCAAAGATCTTATTTATTTATTTGACAGACAGAGATCACAAGCAGGCAGAGATAGAGGAGGAAGCAGACTCCCTGCTGAGCAGAGAGCCTAATGCAGGGCTAGATTCTAGGACCCTGGGATCATGACCTGAACCAAAGGCCGAGGCTTTAACCCACTGAGCCACAGAGCCACCCAGGCTTATTATTTTTCTTTGAATTTTTGGCGTTTCCTAATTAAAAAAAAACTGTTTCTATTGTCTTTCAGACCCAACATCTCTACATGACCAGTCTATCAGACCTAACTTACCACTTGATGCCACATTGTTGGTACCTTTGATTAATCTTTTCACAACCATTGCAAATGAGGGACACAGAATTTCCATGAAATGGAGGAATATAGAATGCTTAAACTTTATATATCCACCCTTCAATATATTCTTGGGGAGAAAAAATAGAACAAAAATAGAAGGCACAGTGAATATCAATAATTTTAAAAAGGGCACCTGGATGGCTCAGTAGGTTAAGCATCTGCCCTTTGCTCCGGTCTTAGGGTCCTGGGATCAAGCCCGGCACCTGGCTCCCTGCTTTTCTCTGTCCCTCTGCCCTTCCCCCACTAATGCTCGCTCTCCCTCTCTCGCTCTCAAATAAATAAATAAAACCTTAAAAACAAATAAAGGGACACTTGGGTGGCTCAGTCAGTTAAGTGTCTGCCTCTGGCTCAGGTCATGATCCTAGGGTCCTGGGATCAAGTCCCACTTGGGCACATTGTTAGTTGTGGAGCCTGTTTCTTCCTCTGTCTGCCGCTCCCCCTGCTTGTGTACTCACTCACTCTCTCTGAAAAATAAATAAAATCCATATATATATACATATATATATGAAAAAATAAAATGAAATAGAAAAAGTTTTACAGATACTACAGGTATGAAATTGATCACATTATGATGTAATGAACAATATTATGCAAATAAATATGAAAATGTGTGATTATATGTTATGGTATATAAAATAGAAAAATTTTTATGAAAAAGCAAAAGCATTTACCAAACTGAGAAATTAAGAAAGAAAATAGTAGTTCTATAAATATTAATGAAATTAAACTTGTAATTTAAAGACTTCCAACAAAGTAAATTCTAGGCAAATTATTCATCTCTATCAAACAATTAAAGGAAAAGTAAGACCACTTTCACACAAATGATTTCAAAGAATAATAAAGAATTGGAAACTGTTTATAACTTTTTTAAAAGCCATCATAAAAATGTCAAAATTCGAGATAGACATTACAGAAAAAATTTGTAGACATTCTCTATTATAACCGTGGATGCAAAAATTCTATGTAAACATCATATTAGTAAACCAATTCTGCAACATATAAAAATAGATAATGAATCACACCCAATTTGGATTATTATAAAAAAGCAAGTTTATAATAAAAGGGTTACACAAAAGCTACATGAAATATGAGTCAATTTATATACAGTTCCAAAATGCGCAAATCTAAGCTGTGATGTTTTGGGAGGCATCCTTGGAAGGTAAAGAATAGCAAAAAAATTATTAAAAGATGTTATTATTTATAAAGGAAGGGAGAAGCTGGTAATTAGGTAAGAGCTAGGGATTTCTAGGTGCTATTTCTTGACATGGGTGTGATAGTTATAAATAGTGGCTGTTTGCTTTATAATAATCTGTAGATTTATGTTCTTGTTTGAGTGCATGTATATTAAATTATAATAAAAAGAAAGTTTAAAAAACCATAGCTCCTCTCTTTACCTGCCTTGAATCCAAGGGAATGAATGAGCTACATAGACCAAACTTCTCTGCCCCTTCCTTCTGGTAAAGGGGAAAAACATGCCTCAATGAATCAAGGGCTGCTGGTAAGTGAATATAAATATGTCTTTTGCTTCTCCCTGATTGCCGAGGAGTCTTCTTGGTTTGATTCTACTTTAGTGGCAGATTGGAGAAAATGATGTCTCCAACCTGGAACTCCTAGTCTTGGAACTCCATGTTGAATTCAGAATAGGGAAATTGTAACGATCTCCAAAATTTAAAAAAAAAAAAAAAATTATTGGACTTACTTTTTTTTTGGTCATATTTAAGAGAATGCAAACAGATGATGGAATGTCAAGAGGGATTGGCTAGCATACCCTCAGCAGGTCACAGTCAAATCACTCTCATACTTCCCTGGATTCTAAGGAGTTCTGATGAGGTTATCTGAATTGTACTTTGCATTTCCTTACACACTGACTCCCCTCCCCTAAAACGCACAGGCCCAGTGTCCTCAGGCTCTGCTAACCTCACCAGCAGCTATCTTATTCTGTTAGGTACTGTCACTAAATCCCGTCCTGCATCTTAATCCTACTGTCAGACCCAAGTGTTTGTCTTTGCTATGTAAATCTATTGTGGATCACTTTCAAGAGTTAATCGTGTAGGAAATTTCTTGTGCCTTAAGCCAGAGCATCATCAGTCCGGACTTCGCAGCAAGATTTTCAGATCTTATCACGTTCCCCAAGTATTCTGAGCTTGCTACCCTGTCTCATTCCCATGACTTCCCTAGGTTTTAACCCCCATGTTGGTAATAGTGGACCGAACATTTGCACCTTACCCAATGCCCGGAGGATCCGCAGATATACCGACACCCTTAAGACATAGCTGCACATTTCTGTCACTCTGGCCCACTTTGTTCCAGCTGAAGCAGCTTATGTAGTTTTTTCTAGTTAGTGAATCTAGTACCAAGTCTTAGGCCTAATCCAGAGTGTAAGCAAATGATCCTGATTAAGTTCTTGAACCTAGGTGAGGTTCGGTGGGGTGAGGTTCGGAGCCGACGGCTAAGAAAGAATTCTTAAGACGTCTTTGGTGAAAAAAGGTGGTTTATTAGAGCATGGGGACAGGACCCGTGGGCAGACGGAGATGCTGCCCTGGGGATGTGAGGAGTGGCTGGTTATATACACAGGAGTTGGGTAGGTGAGGACAAAGGGGTGTTCAGAAGGGCTATTGGGGTAAGGAGGACTGTCAGGATACTGAAAGCCTGGTTACTATCAAGCCAAGGCCGCTTTCAAACTCTAATGAGGCACTAACATAAAGACAATTGGGAGTCTCCTGTTGGAATGTTACATTCCTGCTATCAAGCGTCCTTGTTAGTGAGATTTGGGTTTAGAAGAAATTTAACTTTATTTACTTTTTCTTCTACCTCAGCCTCCTTCAGTTTTGTTTATGGAAGGGAGGGTGACATTAAGGCTTGAGGAACTGAGTTATGTGCCTCTGGAAATTGGGCTATTGATAAGGTAACTTCTTCATTGTAAATCTCAAGGACATTTGTAAACCAAGGGAGACTCCTGTCTTGCAGGATTGTGATCTCTGCAAGTTAACTATTTGTTTTTCTTTTAGGGCAGTCAGAGGTGCCTGAGGAATGTGACACATATTGCCAAGGGGAGCGGGTGGAGAGGGGGTGCAAGGTGCTAGCTTTTGTTTTGTCCTCAGCCAGCCTCCTGCTCCCTCATCAATCCCACTAGCCTAAAAGGTCCTATATGACTTGATTTCCTCCGGTGCTCCCTCTTACACCGTATGCTCTGGCTAACCTGGCCTCTTTGAGTACTTTAGGTATGCTCACATAATTTCCTACGTGTCTCACTATCTCACTCACATCCTTCGTGTCACTGTGTGACTCTACTGCCTTAATAGGAAATTCCCTAACCAAACTACTTCAAAGTGCAACCAGCCTACCACCCTGACCAGGCACTTAGGGTCCTCTTAGGCCCCTTGTGTCTTCTCTTCAGCACTTATGCTCTGACATAACCGTATCTGTACTTGTTTTTTACGTCTTTCTCGACCAAGATGTAATTTCTACTACAGAAAGGAGTTTTGCTCTGTTATACTTTCTTTCTTATATATGTGTGGCTCCTGGAACTGCCATGGACCCATAGTAAATTGGTGACTGGTAAATATGTTAAATTAATGACATATAATTTTCATGAGGAATTAATGTGAGGCATTAATACCAGAAAAATGCATCTTTTAAAAAAAATGGCCTCTGTTTTATTTTCAATTCAAATTTTAGGAGTCACTTTCAGTGGAATTTATAGGAGATTTTATTTTGTAAAAGTGTTGTTGACCTGATTATATTCACTTTGTGATTTCTGAGTGTTTTTCTTTCTAGGTTTAGGCATTAAAGAGCCCGTGGGACATATAGATTTTTATCCAAATGGAGGAAAAACACAACCTGGCTGTCCTAAGTCCATTTTATCAGGTATACCAATGAATGAATTACATATCATTTGAATGAATTACATATGATTCAAATGATGAAAGAAAATCAAATTTACTTTTTTCCTTTTTAATCTGTGGGTAAGATTTTGATCACCCTTGCTCATGATTCGGGGGAGTAATTGGCAAAAAATGGTTGAATTGGATTTTTCTCAGTTCATAAAGTTTAGCAGTCGGTATCCCATCTGGTCATGGTGGGATCCATTGCATTAGCTTCAACAGCTTTATTTCATGATTTTATTTTATTTTATTTTATTTTATTTTATTTTATTTGACAGAGTGAGAGAGATCACAAGCAGGCAGAGAGGCAGGCAGAGAGAGAGAGGGGAGGAAGCAGGCTCCCCGCGGAGCAGAGAGCCCGACTCGGGGCTTGATCCCAGGACCCTGGGATCATGACCTGAGCCGAAGGCAGAGGCTTTAACCCACTGAGCCACCCAGGCGCCCCGTTTATTTCATGATTTTAAACATTCGAAGTGCTAAGTTGGTGAAGAAGCACTGAGGGCCCGGGTGTCCTGTAACATGAGTTTGGTATCAGGATTTAATCTTTACCATCACTCCGATACCGTACAAGCACAGATTCATAATCTCTTGTACTCGGTTCTTTTTTTTTTTTTTAATTTTCTATTTTTTATAAACATATAATATATTTTTATCCCCAGGGGTACGGGTCTGTGAATCGCCAGATTTACACACTTCACAGCACTCACCATAGCACATACCCTCCCCAATGTCCATAACCCCACCCCCCTCTCCCAACCCCCCTCCCCCCAGCAACCCTCAGTTTGTTTTGTAAGATTAAGAGTCACTTAAGGTTTGTCTTTTTTTTTTTTTTTTTTTAAGATTTATTTATTTGACAGAGAGAGAGATCGCAAGTAGGCAGAGGGGCAAGCAGAGAGAGAGGAGGGGTCAGGCCCCCTGCAGAGCAGAGAGCCTGATGCGGGGGCTCGATCCCAGGACCCTGAGATCATGATCTGAGCTGAAGGCAGAGGCTTAACCCACTGAGCCACCTAGGCGCCCTGTTGCACTCAGTTCTTAAATAAGTAGCCGAGCCGCTGCTCCAGGTGTGGAATTTGGCTCACCTCAGAGTCATAGGAAGCAATGTTTTGATGTCTACAATGACAACTTGTCAAGTAACACACAGCAAAAGGCCACTGTGGCTAGAGAAGTTTGGTCAAATGTTATAAGGATGTGAGGCGTTGGAGAAAGAAATAGACATGATAAAGCTTTAATGTTACCTGGTTTCCTGGTCCTCTCTGACACTGAGTAGAAATGTTAGTGGTGTGAGGTTAGAAGGGAAAGATGTGCACAGAGTTATTAACTATGGTAGCACTGTGTTTATGGAGTTTGTCAAATTATTGAAACTGAACATTTTTTTTCCTGTGGTAATTAGTACTTCAGAAAAATTTCTTATAAATCTCATGTAAAAGCTTACTAAATTTAAATTTTCAATGTTACTACTTATTTAATCGCTTGAGATAAAACTGCATTGTAGTCAACACTTTAATATTCATAAGCACGTAGTATTGAGTAGAACGTGACCTTTAATTTTTCTCTAGTTTACTTGAACTTGGTTTAATACATCTGTCCTTCCTCTGCTTGATTTTTAACACTTCAGGAATTCAATATATTAAATGCGACCACCAGAGAGCAGTTTACTTGTTCATGGCCTCTTTGGAGACAAAGTGCAATTTTGTTTCATTTCCTTGTCCTTCATATGAAGATTTCAAAGCTGGTTCATGTGTAGACTGTGACTACAACAAGGGCAAATCATGTCCTAGGCTAGGTAAGCGAGACTTATAATTACTCTAAGTTTCAATGGAAAATGAATCACATAATTGCTAGTATTTTTGCTGGAAGCTTCCATATTTACTTGTGAACATGTTAGCACTTTATGGAAAAATTACCTGTGGAACAACCAGAGAAAACAGTTTATTTCCTACTAAATATTTTTAAGGTGTTTAGTGAAGAGAATTTAATCAACGGCTCAGTGTAATTTAAGCAACTGTGCTCAATGTAGTGTGCAAATTTGGTGGTCCATGATGACCCTTGCTCTTGCTTTGTAAAGGAATCTCACTATCATTCACCTGTATTTCCACTAAAGAAAGAGACTACATTTTTTTTTTCTTGAGATTTGTGCATTTTTAGTGGCACTGAGGGTTTTTATTTTTATGGTAAGTCTTAGGAGCAAGTGGAGAGGTGTAAACCATAGTTAGCTTTTCATTTGCTATTAGCAAGTAGGCATGAATCATATATGGTTCACACCTTCCAAATCGATAAATCTTGGCAAGAGCGGTTATGTATTGCAACTTTCGATAACGACAGCCTGGCGGTGGGAAATTATAGAGGAAAAAAGAATCCACATAAAAATAGAACGGTAGAGCTGAAAGAGTCTCAGAGGCTGTTTTTTGCTCAGGATTTTCTGAAGAGATCACCAGACCCCAAGCTTGTCATGAGCATGTAACATCTTATCAGTGTCATGATCAGGATCTGCTAGAAATGTTTCCAAAGCCGAAGGGGCTCAATGAAATGGGAAGCAATTACAGTGGCTGAATTAAACAGCTTTCTGCAGTTTTCTTGGGCAGGAGGTTTATACTAAGGCACATAGAGAATTGCTAAGAGAGGCAGGCAATCTGCAGGCTTTGCCAGACCTATTTTCTCATAGACCCCTTCTGTCCAGAAGACATCTTGTGGGATTCCTTTTTTTTTCTCCAGACCTCATGTTGGGGATTGCTTTTCTGGTCTCATTGCTTTTCCATTTAAGTGAGAAAACTGTGACCCAGTGTGAACAGAAGGATTATGTAAGGACACAAGTGAGAAATAGAGTTAAACTTAATTCTCAATTCAGTGTTCTTTCTATTACATTAAGATTTCAAGTTCGGTGGTAGTGATGTGGGAATAGACAAGTACATAAAGTAGGAAGCATTTTAAATATATGTGTATATGTGATAATATTTCAAATGTACTAATAACATAGGTATCTGGAATATAGTGTATATAGATGTTATCTATATAACACACTTATGTTACACATGCATCATACATCTATGAATATGTATACATAGGAGAACTGGGAGCTGTACTCATGGAACTAAATTTTGTGTTTGTTTTATCTAACCATTTTATTCTGCTGAATTTACTAAAAGGAGGTACATGTAAAATTCTGAATTTATGAAAAATAGTAAAAACTGCTACAAATGGATTGTAGCCGTATGGAGTCCGCGCAGCTCTGATAAGGTTTCCAGGGAGGGCATTTGTTTGTGAATCTTGAATTTGATTTATAATGTAATTAAAATGAATAGACTATAAAATTATTTGGAAAGTGGTTTTAAGTTATAAAAATCATAAATTATCATCATAATTATTGTTATAACACATTGATTCTTTAGTTGCTTTAGTGATTTGAAAGCTTTGTATGCTCTTTGATGGAAATCTGGTTTCTAATGTTTCTTTCTCAAATCTTAGGTTATCAAGCTGAGCTATGGAAAGATGTTTTAAATGCAAGAAAAGAGACCACTGTGTTTTTGGATACTACTGGCAGGAGTCCATTCTGTAGTAAGTTAACATTTTCAACAAGTGAACAAATGATTGCTTTTATATACTAATTTATATTTCCTCCAAAATGTTCTTCCTACCCACTTAAATTCCATCATGTAATTTCAAGGAACTCTTAAATTTATTAGAGTCCAATTCAAATAAGGATTTGATTTTTTTAGTTTGTTTAATTGTTCATCTCTTGAAGGGTATCAGGGATCTTTTTAGTTTTTGGCTGTTACGAATAAAGCTGCTATGAATATTTATATACAAGTTTTTATGTGAATTTACATTTTTATTTCTCCTTTATGAAGGCCTAGGAATGCAACTGCTGGGTCAGAAGCTAATTAGCCTTATAAGAATGACAAAGTGTTTTTCTGTGCGCTGTACCATTTTGCAATCCCCCCAGCAAAGTATGAGTGATCCAGTTTCTCTGATTTCTCACTAGCGGTTAGTGTTGTCATCATTTAAAAAAAGTTATTCATTCTAATAGGTGGATAGTGATGACTTACTATAGATTTAATCTTTGTCGCTCTGATGGTTTATGATAATGAATGTCTTTCCTGCATATCGTCTTTGGTAAAATATGAATTCGTGACTTTTGCCCATCTTCCAACTGCATTTTTTGTAGGTGTTGAGTTTTGAGAGTTTTCTTCCTATATTTTTACAGTAGGCCTGGTTGGATGCTTGGTTTGCAAATATTTTCTCCCAGTCTATAAGTTGACTATCTTTTCATCTTCTTTTCAAGGGCTTTTACAAGGGCAAAAGCATTTACTTTTGATGAAATCTAATTTATCATTTTTCTTTTCATAGAACATGTTTTTTGTGTCTGAAAACTCTTTGCTGAGTTTAGGTCCTGAAGATTTTTTCCCACATTTTTTTTTCTTAAAGTGTTATTTGTTTTATGTGTTACATTCAAGTCTGTAATTCATTACAGATTGATTTAGTTTTTGTATGGTATGTGGGGTTTAGGTTGAGGTCCAGTTTTTTTGTTTTTGTTTTTTGTTTTTTTGCCTGTGGATTTCCATTCGCTCCAGCACTATTTGTTGAAAAAGGGCTATCTTTGCTTTATTGAAATGCTTTTGTACGTTTATCAAAAATCAGTTAAGCATACTTGTTTAGGCATATTTCTGTTTGGTCTAGATTCCATTTTCTGTCCTTTATTTATCTGCTTATCCCTTTTCCAATATCACACATTATCAATGACTATAGCTAATACTATGGCCTTAATATCAGATAGAATGACTATTTCTTCTTCATTCTTCTTTGTCGTGATGATTTTAGATATTCTAGGATATTTGCCTTTCAATAAAAATTTAAAATGAGATTCTCTGCATCTACAAAACTTTGGCTGGGATTTTGTTAGGAATTGCATTAAACCTATAGATTGATCTGGGGAGAACTGACATCTTCACCATGTTGTCTTCTGATACATAGACATGTTACGTCTCTACACTTACTTTGATTCTTTGATTTCTTTGATTTCTTTCATCAACATTTTGTAATTTTCAGCACAGAGGCCCTGTGTATCTTTTGATACATGTGTGCCTAAATAATTATTTTTAAATATTTTTGGAGTGATTTTAAATGATATTTAAAAAATTTTATATTCCGTGTCAGTTGTTAGTTTGTAGGAACAGGTCTGAATATTTTGTATTGAGCTTGCTTCTTGGTGCCTTGCTGAATTCATTTATTATTTCTTAGATTTTTAAGATAGATTTCTTAGAGTTTTCTATGTAACAACCGTATCATCTGCAAATAAAGAGAAACTTTTACTTCTTCCTTCCTAATCTGTATACCTTTTATTTCTCGTTCTTGACTTGTTTCAGTGGCTAGTACTTCCAGTACTATGTTAAATAAGAATGGTGAGAACAGACATCTTGTCTTATTCCTAATCTTAGAAGAAAGCATTGTTTGCTACTGTAGGTTTTTTGACCATGGGTTATTTACAAGCATGTTGTTTAATTCCATGTATTTAGAGATTTTCCTGTTGTCCTTCTATTACTGATTTCTGTCGTTGATTATATTATTTAGGGTCATTATGTTTAGAAAACAAATTCTATATAATTTCAATTTTTTAAATTTTTGAATTTTTTTAAATAGTCCAGGATATAGTTTATCTGGGTGACTATTTTACAGGCACTTGAAATAAATGTATATTCTGTTTTTGTTGGGTGCAGTGTTCAATATATGTCAGTAAGATTCTGTTGGTCTCCAATATTATCAACTCATTATGACATCAACTCGAAGTCAAAAAATCTCACCTAATGTCATCAGATAAAAAATTCCAAATCATATCATTCGATTCCAAATCTAAATCAGATTTGGATAAAGCTCTAGGTAGAATCCACCCATAGGCACAATTACCTTCATTTGTGAGTCTGTGAAACTCAGTTATCTGCTCCCAAAATACATTGGTGAGACAGGCATAGGATACTAGTCATAATATCAAAAGGGGAAAAAAAAAAATGAAAGGAAATGGAGGCAATAGTCTGAAGCAATTTTATAGTCCAATGAGGCAAATCCCATTTGGTTTCAAGGGTTGGGAATAATTCCCTGTGATTTATTTCCCCTGGGATCTGCTCTGTGGGTTCATGACTCCATGTTCTAGCTTCTTAGAGTCATCTTTTTTCTTTGTTCTTTCTTCTTTTTATTTTACTTTATTTTATTTATTTTTTTTTTGTATCAGTGGTAACTTATGCTTACAGCTGAATAGTTTTAACAGTCTGTTCCTTGCCTGAAAAATTTTGGAGGTCCAACAACATTCTTTCATTTTGTACCCTGTCTCCTTCCGTCCAAGCTGGCATGGTTTATGCTACTACAACATTGTCAGAAACCTTGTAGATGTCCATATCTGCCAGAGATTCATTCTGTTAAAAGAGAGGTACTTCCAAATATCTTTTGTAGATAATCCTATCTCTATTTTGGCTTTCTGCTGAGATGGCTGAGGGAATCTAAGAACCGCATACTTAACCTTTCCGAAGAGCCTTTTGTGTTACTGAATACTGACTTTTTGATCCTTCTAAGCCAAAGGGTTATCTAGCCATACTCCTGGATTTTTCTCTAGAGCGTGGTTTCCTGATAACGATTCTTAGTGTCAGTATCTTTCGGAAACCTGATAAGATAAGAATTCTTCAAATCATTCTGTCCACATTGGTCTTCGTGTGACACTTTTATCTCAATTTACATTTTTCCTCTCCCAGTTTCGCCGTAAACACCAATAAGAAACAAGGCCAGAATTATTTACAACTTCTGCTTTCCATATAATTTCAGGACATAATTTTGTTAGGCTTTCTGTGACTATTTCGCAGGTATTCTTTTTTCTACCAGTTTCCAATAACATGTCCCTTCCTTCTGAGGCCTCACCAGCGGGGGTGTTACCATCTGCATTTCCACTAACAATGTGTTCAAGGTAATCTAGGTGTTTTGTTTTGTTTTGTTTTGTTTTTTTATCATGCTTCTCAAAGTTCTTTAAGCTTCTGTTCATTGCCGATTTAAAAAACCTCTTCCTTATTTTAGGTATTTGTTACAAGAGCTTCCCATCCTTCACATTAAAATATGGATTCATTTTCTGTCACTAACATAACAAATTACCACAAATTTAATGGCTTAAAAAAGCAAAAATCTATTATCTTTCTAGTCCTGTAGAGGTCAGAAGACTGACACAGGTGTCACTGCAAAAACTGGGGTGTCAGCAGGACTGTATTTCAAGAGGCTCTAGGGGACAACCTGTTTCCTTGAATTTTTGCATTTCCGGTGGCTGGCTGCGTTCCTTGGTTTATGGCCTCTTCTTCCCCAGTGGTGGCTTGAGTCTTCCCTCACACCCACTGCATCTCTTCAACCCTTTTTGCTTCACATCTCTCTTTAGGATTCTCTTCTGTCTTCCTCTTCTGCTTTTAAGGTTTTGTGATTACAGGCTGTGATTGTGATTTTGATTGTGATTTTACAGGCTGTGATTGTGATTTTAAGGTTTTGTGACTACACAGCTCCCACTTGGATAAATCAGATAATCTTCCCATTTCAAGGGCAGCTGATTAGCAATTTTAATTCCATTTGAGATCTTAATTATACTTTGCCATTTAAGGTAACATATTCACAGGTTCCAGAGATTAGGACGTGGATATATTTGGAGAGGTCTACCACCATGACAGTAAGCACATAGGATTTTTCACAGTTTCCCGATATCAACATTTTCTGTGAAGTGTGAGAACTTGACTTGCATTTTGGTTTCTTTACATTCTCCACTTTAAAAACTCATTGTCTTGAGTAGCAGATTGTGTGATAATTTTGGTCTCAATCATCAAGTATATAAAATTCACAAGGAAAAGGGTAATCTATTGTGTGTATGCAGCTGTCTTCCCTTCCCATTTTTACCTCTTTGTTTTTGATGCATTAAGATGATTTCAATTCGTTTCTGTTTGAAGAAATCCCTTCTTACAATATTTAAGAGATTGAGTCTGCTAATAAGAAATTCCTTAAGCGTTTCTTTGTCTTAGTGTGCCTTTATTCCTCCTTTATTCTCAAAGGATAGTTTTGCTGGATATGAGGTTCAGAGCTGAGCTCTTTCTTTTGGCCTTTGAAAAAGGTGCCACATAATGTGTGAAAAATGCTAGCCTCCATTATTTCAGATTTAAAAAAAAATCCAGGGCACCTGGGTGGCTCAGTGGGTTAAAGCCTCTGCCTTGGGCTCAGGTCATGATCTCAGGATCCTGGGATTGAGCCCCACAACGGGCTCTCTGCTCAGCAGGGAGCCTGCTTCCCTCTCTCTCTCTGCCTGCTGCTCTGCCTACTTGTGATCTCTGTCTGTCAAATAAATAAATAAAATCTTTAAAAAAAAATCCATTGTGACTCAAATTGGTGTTCTCCTATAGATAATGCATCATTTGTCTTGGGCTGCTTTCAATTTTTTCTTTGTTTTTTGTTTTCTGACATTTAATGATGATACGACTGGGTAAGATTTGTTCAGGTTTATTTTATTTCAGGTTCACTCAGCTTCTTGAATCTGCATATTTGTTTTCTTCACCAAATTTAGAAAATCCCTGGCCATTGTTTCTTTGAATACTCTTTGGTGCCGCTTTCTTTCTTCCTGACATGGTAACACAGATACTGTATCTTTGTTGTGGTCTCACAGCTATCCGAGGCCCCCGTTTTTCCCTCAGTCTCTTTTCTTTCCGTTGCTGCAATTGACTGGCCAGTTGATCTGTGCTCACATTCGCTGATTTCTTTCCTCCATCATCCACCTACCAACAGGCACATGCAGTGAGTTTTATATACATTACCGTAGCTTTCGCGTATGTAGTTTCTACTTTGTTTTCCTTTACAGCTCCCATTTTTTTTTAAGATTTTATTTATTTATTTGGCAGACAGAGATCACAAGTAGGCAGAGAGGCAGGCAGAGAGACGGGGTGGGGGGGGAGGCAGGCTTCCTGCTGAGCAGAGAGCCCGATGCGGGGCTCGATCCCAGGACCCTGAGACCATGACCTGAGCGGAGTTAAGGCAGAGGCTTAACCCACTGAGCCACCCAGACGTCCCAACAGCTCCCATTTCTTTGCTCACATCTTTCTATTCATTTTTTCAAGAGGCTCTAACTGACTTTGAAGCATTTTTGGGATGGCTTCTTTGAAATCCTTGTCAGATAATCCCAGCATCCGATTCATCTCAATATTGGCATCATTTCATTGTCCCTTCTCACCAAAGTTGTGGTTGTCTTTGTTCTCGGTATAATGGGCAATTTTCAGTCACATCCTGGACATTTTGTTTATTATGTTGGAATTTGAGTCCTATTTAAATCTTTTGTTTCTAAGCAGGCAGCAACTTTGTTTAGATTTTAGGTTTATGTGTTCTGAGGCTGTGGTTTCTTACATGTGTAAGAGTTCAAGACGGTTTATGCATAAAATTGCATTTTGACTCCCAATTTTATCTGATTCTATCACAACAACAATTTATCTCATAGAGACTCTGAACCTGTGTTTTCTTTTCTGTCTTGAATAATATGTTCTATAGTATTTTATTTCACATGTTACTTAACAATCAGTATTTTTTAGGAATGTTATCATTACAACAAATCCTCACCCTATTTGCCAATTTTAGTTTTCTACCTTTTTTTTTTTTTAAGATTTTATTTATTTATTTGACAGACAGAGATCACAAGTAGGCAGAGAGGCAGGCAGAGAGAGAGGAAGGGAAGCAGGCTCCCTGCTGAGCAGAGAGTCCAATGCAGGGCTCTATCCCTGGGATCCTGACCTGAGTCAAAGGCGGAGGCTTTAACCCACTGGGCCACCCAGGCGCCCCAATTTTCTACCTTTTTTCTTGTTCTCTTTTCCCTCTACCACTTTTTCCTTCTGAGTCTAACTCCTATCTTACTAAAATACACCCTTAGTGACTTTTTACTACTGGTCTCTTTCGGTTTGTTTATTTCCTTGAAAATGACCTTATCTTTTCCTTACTCTGGAATGCAAATTTAATTCAAGATAGAATTCTACATTGAGAGTATTTTCACTCAGCACTTTGAAGATACTCATTTTCTTTTCAGATAAATTTTCTTCATTTATTGTCAGTGTAATTGTATCCGGCCGATAATCTATAGTTTTCTTCTGGTTGAATTAATTAATTAATTAATCTATTTATTTTTGATTTATTATTATCATTTTCTAGTCTCAGTGGTCATTTTAAGTGTCTTAAAAATTAAAGAAAGATATTTGTGCTATTTCAAATTAAAGACTCATGTATTCTTTTAATATATAAAAAACTCAGTAGTCAGCTTTTCAAAATTCTTTCTTCAGAGCAAGTTGGATTTTGTTTTTTCCAGAATTTATATAGCATAGTCTTGGAGCATTTTTAATATAATTTGGAGGGGTTGGGGAGTTTTCACCAAGTGATGAGTGCTAATTTAAATTCCATATTACCAGGGCACCTGGATGGCTCAGTAGGTTAAGCATGGGACTCTTGATTTCCTCTCAGGTCATGATGTCAGGATTCTGAGATTGAGCCCCGTGTCCGCTCCATGCTCAGGGCAGAGTCTGCTTATCTCTCTCTCTCTCTCTCAAATAAAGAAATAAAGGAAATCTTATAAAAATAATTCCATGTTACCTGGAGTTTTATTTAGTCTTGGTAAAATTTTACCCCCATCTAAGACTCATAGACAGCCAGTAGGAAAAATTTTCCAAGTTCCTCTTTGAATGGCAAAGCAGAGAATTAAGGTCTCTGGCTCTGAGCGGGGACTTTCATTTCAGCTCTGTCACTTGGCATCGGGTCTCCTGTGCGTGGAAGCTGACACTGCAGCCGCAGCCTCCCTACATCCTGTTCTCAAGTCCTGAAGGTATCCAGAGCTTTAGTCCGTCTTAAGTTTTGCCTTTACTTCCTCCGCATTTCTGCTTCCTGGTATTTTTCCTACCTTCATCTGAGCTTGGTTGTGTATTTGATTTAGGGATTGTACGCTCTTCATTTCCATGTACTTGTAGCGAGAGCTGGGGTTATTCTATAACATCTCAACGTGCCATGCTACCAGAAGTTACCTGAGAAAGTCTGAGCATCTGCTTTATTGGGTGAGGTGGAACAAAGTATTTTGTCTAAAGCTGAGCAGTCGCTTCAAAGTAAGAAGTGGTCTTCAACTGTCTTGTGTTAGAAATTGATGAGGTCCAGAGATAAATACACTTCCTTATTGGAGGTAGTACTCAGCATCAGGAATAAAAGAAGTTACTACTCTTGCCTGGTTAGTAGCAGCATTTAACAGCTAGCATGCATGATTTTAGACGTGTATTTTCACGGGAAAATTTCATGGTCCTTGTTCTGTTTTTTGTACATTTTTTTTCTAAGATGGTTCACAGTACAGGGACTAGTGTCTACCTCTCTTATGTAAGGTATGATGGAGATGGACTGCGCATTCTAGTCCTTAAGTTACAGTATCACAACAAGATTGGGATAGAACTAGAAGAATGGGTATCATCTTACACCAGATTGTAGCAAAATGTAGTCCACTTAGCTGTTCTTGGGACTGGGGGCTGGGCATCTAAGTAATAATGGCATCTTACTTGAAGTATGGGAGGAAAAGTGGTTATTGATGTTAAGTGGTAAAAGGGGTAGACTTAGTGAGCACTTAAAAATAGCTCTTTGCTGTGAATTTAAATCCTCCCTTTTTTTCGGTATTTCCCCTCCAGATGTACCAACATCTTCCCATCATAGAAATGAAAGTATCTTAAACTTGCAATCTCCGCTAATCTTCTAGCTCTTGTTTGAAGGTGGAAGTAGTGGGATCTTGAAGCAGTTCTGGGCTGTAATTTTTAGGTTGGTGTTTCTGGCAGAGCCTTATTCTCTGGCCCTCAGTAATTATTTGAACTACATATTTCCTAATAAATTCTTCTTGTGCTAAACAAACAAACAAACAAACCTCCCAGGGAGTCAGAACTTTCTGTGTAGCTCAGACAATATTGAATATAGGGGTAAGTTCAGCATCCTTACTTCTGGAAGATTTACTCTATCAATTTTTAGCTGGGGCATTTTTTTTAAATTTTATTTTTTATAAACATATAATATATTTTTATCCCCAGGGGTACAGGTCTGTGAATCGCCAGGTTTACACACTTCACAGCACTCACCATAGCACATACCCTCCCCAATGTCCATAAGCCCACCCCCCCTCCCAAAACCCCTCCCCCCCATCAACCCTCAGTTTGTTTTGTGAGATTAAGAGTCACTTATGGTTTGTCTCCCTCCCAATCCCATCTTGTTTCATTTACTCTTCTCCTATCCCCTTAACCCCCCATGTTGCATCTCCTCTCCCTCATATCAGGGAGATCATATGATAGTTGTCTTTCTCCGATTGACTTATTTCACTAAGCATGATACCCTCTAGTTCCATCCAGGTCGTTGCAAATGGCAAGATTTCATTTCTTTTGATGGCTGCATAGTATTCCATTGTGTGTATATATACCACATTTTAGCTGGGGCATTTTGAAGAAGAACTAGACATACTTAATTTTACAGTCATTCCTAAGCAACCAGTGAAACTGGGGGTTGTATTTGTCAAGCAATTTTACCTAAGACTATTCATCAGATAATTAAGGAACATTGTCATGTTTACTTTGGTTGTGCTATTGAAAACGAAAAAGTGCCTCATTGACCTAAATTCTGAATTTTCTTGGTGCAGACCAGTTAGTATTCTCTAATTATTTGGCCAGCTTTTCACCATACCTATGACTGTCTGGCAGGCTTTTTCATTCCTCATTTTCAAGTCTAGTTAAAAATTGCCAAAAAATAAAATGTATTACCCATGTACTAAATGAATGGCTCTCAATATTATGTGCATATATAATATGTGCTTACACTGCATACATATATACATTACATATATACACATATGTGTATCTGCATAGACACCAACAATAAGGAAAAAAATAATAATGTGAATTGCATCCTATATTTTTGTGTTATAGCCTATTATTTTGTTCTCACTATGACTCTTCTGGATGAAACTATGGAGGATGGCTATATTAGATTTAAATTATTAAACCACCTTGGAAAGGTTAAAGAGCCAGAGCTCTATGAGTAAGTATAATTTGGTATTTTTTCTTTGATCAATTAAATGTTTTATTTTCTTAAGCATCTACTTTGGAATATGATACAAATGATACAAATTTTCTATCCATTGAGCCTTAAAATGTTCAATATTAAAAGAATCTCAGGTGTGTATTTTAATACATTCATTCTGTGGTGGAAGACGCAAAATACGAAGTTGACTGACTCATTTATGTCATACACACCCAGGAACTACAAACAATAGGGGAAACATTTTTTTCCCCTCTCATTCTCTCCTGCCAGTGTTCTTCTCAAACTACCTTGCCTTCTAATTCTCTCTGGTTTTCAGGCAACACTGTGTTCACAGTGGTGTGAATAAATGTCTGGTAACTTCTGTCAGTAGAGTGACCCAGTTTCAGCATTTCTGAGAACCACTCCCAGTCACAAATCCCTCAAATAATAGAAGAGGGTTTTGTTTTTACTTAATCTTCTATTTAACTCTTTGTGTATATGTGTATATGTAGGTATATATTCATATTTTTTGAAAAGATTTTATTTATTTATTTGAAAGACAGAGATCACAAGTAGGCAGAGAGTCAGGCGGCGGGGGGGAGCAGGCTCCCCATTGAGCAGAGAGCCTGATGCGGGGCTCTGTCCCAGGACCCTGGAATCATGACCTGAGCCGAAAGCAGAGGCTTTAACCCAGTGAGTCACCCAGGCACCCCTATATACATATTTTTTAAAGTTATCTAATCATCTCAAAGAATGTTCTCAATTTGAGTTTGTTGAATGCATATTTGTGTATTTAATAATTACTCAAACTAAGAAATTCATTATTTCCTATTAAACAAAAGAATGATATGAAGGTGTGTGCTACTATTAAAATTGTAGTTTATAACCTGCTGTGCTAGACTTCTAGAAATCTATTAAATAACCTAACTTTTCAAAAGGCTCACTGGTACCATGTCTAGTGATGAAATAAAAGATACATTTTATTTTGTTGTGCCTGGATTTAGAACAGTTTGATTTAAGTTTAGTCTTATTCCTGATGACATCATTAATACTTCAAGAAGCATAGTTGGCATGTCCAGAGTTTACTGTTGTCGTAGTTTTGGTAGTTACAGTACCTGAATTGATGAAATCTGAAGTATGTTGGGCTTCAGACCTGCATACGTCATGATGTCCAAACTTAATCAACCATTAAAGCGAACCAGGGAAAAGTCTCTGCACGCTTATATATTTGCACTTTAGCATTGCAAACAATGGAAGTGATATTTGTAATTTTAACCTTTGTTTAAAATCTAAAATGATACTACAGTGTAAAAAGTATTCATAACTCATAATAAATGAAGTTTGTTTTGTACATCAATCTTGAATACCTTGAAATTCACAAAGAAAAGTTATAGTAAAAGAAGTATATTATGATAAAATATCGAGAACCTATGTACTGAAGTAACATAAAGACTACTTCATCATGGGATACTAAGGCCATTCTTGGAAATAATATTCTGAGTTATAAGCCAGGGAAAATTTTTTAAACATTGAGCTAAACATATTTTTTGTATTAGATCCTTAAAACTTTAATTTTCTTAAAATGATTAATGGCATTGAACAGATAATTTAGTAGTTGGTTAGGACTGGTGATGAGTGAGCATCAGTTATTTTTTTTCCCCTTTCTTCAACTTCCCCTCAGTTACCCAAAGAAGAATATTAAATAAATCAAATTAGGATTTCAGATTCTTCAAATTCTTCATTTACATCAAGGCTCATCTTTTTTTTTTTTTAAGATTTTATTTATTTCTTTGACATAAGACAGTGAGAGAGGAACACAAGCAGGGGTGTGGGAGAGGGAGAAGCAGGGTCCGCATGGAGCAGGGAGCCTGAAGCGGGACTTGATCCCAGGACCCTGGGCTCATGACCTGAGCTGAAGGCAGATACTTAACAACTGAGCCACCCAGGCGCCCCATGGCCCATCGTTTATTAAGAGACACTTAAGTTCTTGCCACTTCATTTTGAGCACTGATAGTGTTATAATAATAAATAGTTTATAATAGTTTATTGCTTTAAATCACTTAAAATAGTGGATATATGTGCATATATATAAGACATATGTGTATGATCCTTTATCTGTTTTTATAAGACCCATGCTTTCTTGGTTTTTGAATCCACCTCTTCAGCACCAATGGACCGTATTCAGGCATTTCACCAAATAATGGGTATTCAAGATAAAATAGCACTATTACTGTTCTCAAGGAAGCCACAGAATGCTGGAGGAGACTAATGCGTGTTGGTAGCTCTGAGTAATAAGTTCTGTAGTAGCAGAATACTTACGTGCTATGGGTGTACAGAGAAAGAAGCAAGGGAGCACTTGAAGGGGAGAGACTGCAGTCCAGGAGTGGAGAGAGAGTGCTTTCAAAGGCACGGAACCAGGAAAGTACCAGAGTTCAGTAACAGCACAAAGACTTACAGTCCTAGAGTCCTAGAGAAGCTGTTGCCAGCTTGTTCAGAAGGCAATGAAGTTGTGATTCTTGATTTCCTTTACAAACATCAATGTCTGTGCAGAACACCATGAAATATTGATGCATTTTATTCACATACTTGCCTTAGTGCATTTTTCATGAAGGAATATAAAACATGGATGACATACTCATGGTAAATCTGTCCATTTAAGCCTGGTCATAGGCTTTCTTGTTTTTCTATTAATAACGCTTTGCTAATAGCTTTGGTCATGCTTGGGGATTTGAACTGTTTCAGAAACCAAAAGTCAGAAACTTTTAAATGACCTTTTGTTTCCCTTTTCAAAATTGAAAGGGACTGTTTGTTCACTGTAGAAAGTGTGTCATACAGTAAAAAAGGAGAAGCATATATAATTATATCATTCAGGGATGTTCACATTTACTAATTGGTCTACATCTTTGTCTCCTCCTCTTCCTCTATCTCCTCATTTCCTTCCTCTTTCTTCTTGTACATACCCCTGTGCATTATTTTTTTCACAGAGCAAAATTAGGATCTTATCCTGATTTTTATACCAAATGCTACAGTGTAATCATTTTTTATGTCACTAAAAATTACCCGCACATTATAATATGATACCAAATATATTAATACATCAATGTAGGAGTTAAACAGGAGGTATCAATTTTGGACATTCTAGTTAGAATGATTCCCTCAGAGGATGAGTAATGGAGATACGAGAGTGACACAAGTCCAGAGAGGTGGATGTTGTAATAATTTCTGTGAGAGATGATGGAGGCCTGGACTAAATCTGTAGAAAGTATTTATCTATCTATCTATCCATCTATTTATTTTTTAGGATTTAGAATAGGTGAGTTTTTATGATTAATTAAATATGTGAAAGTGAAGAAAAGAAACAAGTTTTGAGGCAAACATTTAAGTTATGGTGCCATTTACTGAGCTAGGTCATGGAGAGGTCATGGAGAGGAACCAATTTAATCATTCAGTATAATATCTTGAAAGCTTCTATGGGCCAGTAACTGTACTAGAAATTAAGGATACAGTTCTGGACAGATTAGAGTGCTGTCTTTACATAATTTCTGTCCATTGTAGCTAATAGACTTTACAAATACAAGTAAAATGATGATGTTCATCATTCCTCTATTCAAATAATTTTTAATGTGTATCTCCATTGAGCTAGGGACTGTGCAAAGTGCTGAGGATAATGTGATGAGAAAAATAGACATGGTCCTACCCTCATTAAAGTTACAGCTTAATGAAGGATATAACAGTAATCAAAAATAAATAAAAATGTATAAACAAAATATGAAGAATGTCTTGAAACAAATTGTAGTGTATATGGAAACATGAAATAGGGGATAGTGAGGTCACTAAAAGTTTCTCTAAGGACATGTCATATTAGTTGAGACCTAAATGATGAGCGGAAATTCGTATGTTTTGCTATATTCCAGACAGAAGGGTCAACAAATGCATAGATCCTGAAGTAGGAGGGAACGTAGCCCATTTTAAGAACTGAAGGAATTTTATAATGTCTTAGAAGGGAGGCAGGGAAAGCAAGAGAGATATGAGAGAGTTAGAAAACCCCTCGATTTTGTAAGAACTAGAACTTACAGGGCATTTCTAGGATTCTGTTTTCCTCCCTGGGAAAATGAAAACCACTGAAGAGTTTTAGTTGGGGCAGTCTGGTTGCAGCCAGGACTGGATCTTTATTTTGGAAAAACAATTCGATCACAGTGGGTTGATGATGGAAAAGAGAGGTTGTTGTTGCAAGAATATAGGCAAGGAACAGTGGTATCCTGCGTGCTTGCAGTGGAGATGGAAACTGAGGGCGGATTCAAAGCAGACTCAGGATATTTCATAGGTATAATCAGTAGGAATTTATGATAGATAGGAAGTAAGGGTTAAAAGAGGGGATATGAAGGGTGAATCTTCATTGTCTGGCTTGGGAAATTGGTGGTGGCACCATTTAAAATGATAAAGAAATTTGTAAGCTGTCGGGTTTTAGGTTTTTTTTTCCCCCTTAGATGTATTCATTTATTTATCAGAGAGAGAGGGGAAGCACAAGCAGGGAGAGTAGCGGCGGGAGGGAGAAGCAGGCTCCCCACTGAGCAGGGAAGGTCAATATGGGACTCGATCCCAGGACCCTGGGATTGTCACCTGAGCCAAAGGCAGACATTTAATCGACTGAGCCACCAAGGCATCCCAAAGCTGTTGGGTTTTGTTTTGTTTTGTTTCTTGGTGGGGAGGGTTGTTGGGGAAGATGTCATTTAGATTTGAACCTACTGAGCTGCAGACATCCTTGAGATATCCAAGTAGACATGGTGAATATAGCAGTACATGTGTATGTCTGGATCTCAGCAGACCGAGTTCAGCCAGAGGCAGAGATCTGGTGGTCCTGAGCAAACAGTTGGTATTCGAAGTCGTTAAAGTGAGTGTGAAATTGTAGGGAAAGTTAGCACATTGCCATCTGGACACGTTGACTTGGAAGTATCGCTGAGAAATCCAGATAAGGTCGTGGATAGAAATTAGAGGATCACTGATGTTCTATTCCGTGAAAGAGGAGGTAATAACAGTGCCTACAGGGAGTAGAGACGGGCTTTGAGGAGTGTGATGACAACCTTTTTTTGGGCTTAGTTGTTCTGAAGAATCAAGAGGAGGAAAAGGTGGGGAAAAACGTAAGATGGCACAAGAACTGGACACGTTCTTCATGTGTTCTACGTGTGGTTGTTGCCTTTGTTCAACAAATCATTGTTGCCTTAAAGGAGGAAATTAATACAACAGGTTTTTTTGTTTGTTTGTTTTTGAAGATTTATTTATTTGAGAGAGAGGGACAGAATGCAAGCAGGGGGAGAGGGAAAGGGAGAGGGAGAGGAGAGAATCTCGGCAGACTCCACGCTGAGTGTGGAGCCCCACATAGGGCTTGATCCTGCGACCCTGAGATCACGACCTGAACCAAAATCAAGAGTCAAAGGCATAACTGACTGAACCGCCAGGTGTCCCAGTACAATAGGTTTTTCTTTTTTTAATTTCTTTCTCTCCTCTTCCTTTTTCTTCTCTTCTGACTTCTTCCCTTGCTTCCCCCTTCCTCTCACTCTCCTTCCTTTTCTTTCTTCCTCCTCTTCCTTCCACTTCTCCTCCTCCATTTCCTTCTTCTTTGGAGTTCTCTTTTTAGTTAAGCAGATCCATACTGATCTAACTGACTCCAGGCAATGCTCCTGGCACACAAAGATGAGCGATTTGAGTAGAGTGTTGAAGAACGTTGACATGACTGTGTTTGCATTCTAGCTTTGCAGTCACTAGCTTAGGAAAGGCTCTTGTATGCTCTGATACTTAGTTTTCTCATCTGTTATGGCAATACTAATAGTACCTAATAAAGGGAGTTGTTAAAATAAGGTCAAGTATGTCAAACTTTATTACAGTTCTGGGTGCACTGTAAATGCTCAGAAAAATATACTTACTTAATTCTACCTTTATTTTTTTCCTTTTGAATCTGAGGCTTTTATAATTATTCCTTTAATGCACAAATATTTGGTAAAATGGCACAGAAGAACGAAAAATTGTTATTTTGAGTATCCAGCCCACTCAGGGAACTATGATAGTTGTTGAGGTGTCTAAAAAAAGAAGCATAAGGGAACTTCTTTAATCTTAAATGTACAATCTAGACACCAAGTCAGAAAGATAAGATGTCCCATTGTTTTCTCAGAAAGTATCCCTGAATAATTTTGTATGGAGGTGTGTATATTTTTATTTTATTTTGTTTTAACTTATTTTAAATTAGTTTTTTAAAGTTTGTTTTATTTAAATTCAATTAATTAATTAAATTAATTAATCAGTGTATGACTAGTTTCAGAGGTAGAGTTCAGTGATTCATCAGTTGCATATAACACCCAGTGCTCATTACATCACATGCCCTCCTTAATGCCCATCACCCAATTACCCCATCCTCCTACCACCCACCCTGAGCAACCCTCAGTTTGTTTCCAGTAGTTAAGAGTCTCTATGGTTTATCTCCCTCTATGATTTTGTCTTATTTTATTTTCCCCCTCCTTTCCCCTATGATCCTTTGTTTTGTTTCTTAGATTCCATATATGAGTGAAATCACATGATAATTGTCTTTCTGTGATAGACTTATTTCACTTAGCATAGTACCCTCTAGTTCTATCTGTGTCATTGCAAAAAGTGAGATTTAATTTTTTTAATGGCTGAGTAATATTCTGGGTTTTTTTGTGTGTATATAAACACACACACATACACACATATATATATATATATATATAATATCACATCTTTATCCATTCATCTGTTGATGGACATCTGGGCTTTTTCCATAGTTTGGCTATTGTGGACATTGCTGCTATAAACATTGGCGTGCAGGTGCCCCTTCAGATCACTATGTTTGTATCTTTTGGGTAAATACCTAGTAGTGAGATTGCTGGGTCATATTTTAAATTATTTTATCAAATACTTTAACAAATACTGTTTGGCCTTTTTCCTTTAAATTATTCTTTCTATCTTGCATTGTTAATATGACATTGACTTTAGAGTTAAATTATATTTTATTGATATGCTGAACATATTAAATTCTCTCTTTAGGGAGAGCACATCGTTTAATGATCTCCAAGAAGTCAAGATTCTTGCTCGATTTTTAAATGATGTTGTAAATATTTCAAGCATGAGTTTGACATATTTTCAGAACACAAATTTGCAATGTCTCCCAGGTGGTTACAACATCCAGCGTATCATGTTACAATCACTTACGCATCCAGAAAGGTAAGAAAACTAAATTTTGATTTCTTTGTATAATCTTTTTTTTTTTTTAAGATTTTATTTATTTGACACAGAGAGAGAGGTTACATGTAGGCAGAGAGGCAGGCATAGAGAGAGGGAAGCAAGGCTCCCTGCTGAGCAGAGAGCCCGATGCGGGGCTTGATCCCAGGACCCTGAGATCATGACCTGAGCCCAAGGCAGAGACTTTAACCCACTGAGCCACCCAGGCGCCCCTCACTGTATAATCTTTTAAGCTTGAAAATATTGGTATGCTAAGAAATGTTTTAAAAGTTTACATATTCAAATATCTGTTTATTGTGTATTTCAGGTTATATTTCACATAAATATTAGAATATCTAAATTAGATATATTAGAATATCTAAAAGGTGTAAAATGCCCTTTTTTAAAAGTGAAAATTAGTTTGAATGAAACTTAGTTTGGAATCACATTACCTAAGCCAAGAAAAAACACAATCATTGCACTAGACACCATTAAAAATGAAAAAAAAAATGAGACAGATGTCTTCCTCAGAAGTTGATCAATAATTTCTTATGTATACATATATATTTACAGAGTGGTTGAGATTCCTTTTATACAATTTTTGCATGGGGCTCAATGGCTAAAAACTGTATAAGGAGGCATATGTCATAGAAGATAGAAGTCATCATGACTTTCAATGATTTTTTTCTTTCTCTTAAATTTATTTTTATTTGGGAAGAGGAAAAAAGTCTGTTTTCATCTGTTGTATCTAAGATTCTATATATCACTGGAAATTCAATCCTAGGAGTATATTGGCAAAAGTAACGCTCTAGCATATATACGATAACAGCATGAGGAAAATCTGACTCTATACCTTAATTTTACGATCAGATGTCTTTGTTTGTCTGTTATATCACAAATATCTCCATTCCACATCATAACTTGATTTTTTTTTGAAGATGATAGAATTCAGCAGTATTTATATGTCTATTTAATATGCTTTTCTTAGTTCTGCGTTCTCATAACTGAAGAGGTTTTCCTACTATCCTTGTCCCCGCGATATTGATGTATGTGTTCACCATGGCAGAATTCATATTCCCACACAAACACCTCTGTGAAAGCACTAAGAACCACTAAGACCTCTTTAATGAGTTGACCATCTGTCTATTTGGATATGTGACATGTGATTTGTTCCAATCACGAGAGTCAACTGAGAGCCAATAGCCACGGGTTTGCGGATTGCTAGAAATCGCTGTTTTTTGGTTCACCGCAGAGCTTTCTTTTTATTTCTCTTTATGTTTCTGTATTTATATATTTGATTCCTTAATTACCTTTCTATGAATGTTGCCCATACTAAATAAGAATTTTTGGAGAATAAAATTAATAAATGATAAGAATATGCATTTAGATGAGATCTCTATCAAAAGAGGAGAATTGGTGGGGGGGCACCTGGGTGGTGCAGTCACTAAGCGTCTGCATTTGCTCAGGTCATGATCCCAGGGTCCTGGAATTGAGCCCTCCCTCAGCAGGGGAGCCTGCTTCTCCCTCTCCCTCTGTCCCTGCTCATGTTCTCTCTCTCTCACTCACTCTCTCAAGTAAATAAATAAAATCTTAAAAAAGAAGAAGAAGATGATAATGGCTCCTGGCTTAGCTGCATTCAAAGGACCAAGTGCATTTCTGTGCTAGCTCTTGGCTTTGCCATTCACATTGCTTTATCCTCAGTCTTTATAATACCAACTTGGCTGCTGCTTGATTCCAAACTCAAATCCCATGAGGATGGGTGGGAAAAGAGTTTTTATAGTCTCTTCGCATGTCACTGACTTTGACTGGGCAAGTACATGCCTTTGAACCTCACACTGTGGTCAGGGAAGTAGATTCTTCTGATTGGCCAGGGAAGTAAGTCCTTTGATTTATGCTTACTCTGTGACAAGATGGGATCAAATTCAATCAGAGTTTATACACGGAGAGTAGGATGAAGAATGTTAAAAGCAGTATTACCAGAGAAGATAATATGACCTCTAAGGTGAAAAAAATAACAGGACACTATAGAAAGGCTGAAAATATTTCGATAAAACAGGCAAAACATTAATTAAAAATGGATTGGCTTGTAATTTATCTTACTGTAGTTATATATTGATTTAACAACAACAACAACAACAAAACTCAAGATAATTTTGATTGGCTGATGCAGTTAACCTGTGAATGAAAGCAATAAATGAATAGGTAAGCTGGGTCACTCAAATTCAGATTTTTCAAGATCTGGATACTTCAAACGATTTTGGGGTAAGTTAGGTTTTTGAAGAGGTTATATTTATTGTTATGGATAGCCATAATCTAATATTTTGCCTGATTTATTTTAACTTCCCTAGTTATTTAGTGTTGCATTTAGTTGAATAGTTTCAACATTTAGTAAGCCATTTTCAAGATGAATAATACTGGTTAAGTGTGTTAAGATTTACCACATTACTGGTTAAGATTTACCACATCCCAGACACTGCTTTTGCAACGTTTGCAACACCTCTCTGAGCTAATTTTTTTCTTCTTTTTATTAGTGAGGGAACAGAAACTGAGAGGCTTTCTATAACATGTCCAAGTTTGCTCAGCTGAGAAGTGCCTTTGCAGTGATTTGAAGCCAGACTTTTCTTGGTTTTTGATGTTGTTGTTTTCTTTTCTTCTAGTTGCTGTTATTTTGATAGGAATAAACATTTTTCCCACTAATTAATATAGTGATTTATTCCCATTGTGGAGTATTTGGAAAATTTAATTCAAATGTAATGCTACAAGCAGGAGCTATCTGTTAATATTTTGTCAGGCTTACTTATCATCACACATGTGACAAGTGAATCGTGAATCTAATTATTTACATTAAATGACAAGCCAGGTTTCTATGCAGAATCGTGCAGTTTGAGCTGCGGGCATCACTGTTCGCATAGATAACGGGGTGAACGTAATGTGCTTGGAGCTGCGCAATACCGTGGACCTGATTAGAAGCATTTTTTTCTTCCAAAATATAAATTAATGGCAGCCATTATATTCCATCTTTTGTGGGATATTCAAATTAGTCTTTCCTTTATTGTTAGGCATTTTGGTGCTTTTTCTTCCCCCCAATGCGTGCTTATCATGAATATTGACTCTCGATACATAGAAAACTATTGGCAGGTTAACAGTTTCCTTGTACTATATTTATAGAAGGAACATCAAGGAGGAGGAATATTTTCAAATCTTCTACCCCAGCACAGTGTTCACACTTTGATATAGGTTGGTGATGAGTCTACAGACAGTGGTTACTTTCTCCTTTTTAAGTCCCTTATTACAAGGGGAAAGGAAAGGGGAAAAAGGCAGACAGATGTATCCACCATTATATGTGACTCCCTGTCTTCTTAATCATTTTTGCATAGACAGCTATTGTACCCAATTTACTCATTGGTTAATAGGTTAAAAAAATAGGGTAAAGTAATTGGAATATGCTATAGAGGAAAAATAAGCATGCATGTAATTTCAATTTTTATGTAAAATCTTAACAGTGGGTAAGCAATGAAAATTTACTAAATTTATAAAATTTAGATGCAGTTGTTTCTACTCAGGGTGGGGGTTGGGGAACCAAAAATACATTTTGTGGGTGGTTAGAAAACTCAACATTCCCTCCTGGCTGGGGATGCTAACAGATGCTTGGATGAAATGTATGCTTTAAGTTTAATTACCTAGGTAATTACTGTAACTGTTTAGCTGCTTTTCCTATTTAGATCTGTCCGCACAGATAATGTGCAATTAATGAGAATTAGCACTGCCAAATTATTGGGAATGTGAGTTTTAAAAATGTGATCCTTATGGTCCAGATAAGCTGTGTATGCAGTCAACCAGTAAGGATCTCTGTATAATAAACTCTGATGCTACAACAAAATTCCCCTTCAGGGCATTTCCAGTAGAGCGGGGCCTTTGAACTTAGGGACTGAGAGGAATATATATTCACAGTGCAGGAGACTTGGGATGACTTCCTGAGAGAAGTTGGACTAAAGCTACTTTTTGAAACTTGAGTGAACGGTAAAATATACTCTTTTTGGTATATGGTTCTATGAGTTTGGATACATTCATGGAGTCATGTAATGACCATCATGTTCAAGATACAGGACATTTCCATCAATGACAAAAACTGTCTTGAGCTAACCCCCTTCTTTTCTTTCTTTTTTTTTTTTTTTAAGATTTTATTTATTTGACACACAGAGAGAGAGATCACAAGTAGGCAGAGAGGCAGGCAGAGAGAGAGGGGAAGAAGCAAGCTCTCCGCTGAGCAGAGAGCCCGATGTGGGACTCGATCCCAGGACCTTGAGATCACGACCAGAGCCAAAGGCAGAGGCTTAAACCACTGAGCCACCCAGGTGCCCTTAACCCCATTCCTGGTCCCTAGCAACCACTATCTCTATTTTTGCCTTTTCCAGAACATTATGTAAAAAGGAATCATGATAGCATGTGCCTTTTTGAGCGTGGCTTTTTCCACTTAGCTTCGGACATTCAAAGTTTATGCATTTTGTTGCTTATACCAATGGAATGCTATTGATGAATAGCATTCCATTGTATGTATATACCAAAGTTTGTTTATCCACTCACCAGTTTGAAGACATATGGTTTGTTCACAGTTTTTGATAGCTATCTATGGATAAAGCCAACATAAATATTTGCATGTAGGTTTTCATGTGAACATAAGTTTTCATTTCTCTTGATAAATACCTAGAAGTGAAATAGCTGGGTCATACTGTAAGTGTATGTTTAACTTCAGAGGAAACTGCCAGACTGTTTTCCAAAGTGACTGTACATTTTGCGTTCCCACTGGCACTTAGCAGAGTTCTCTTGCTTCTCCCGCATCATCAAAGACTGCACCTTCCCCGGTGTTTTTGTTGTTCGGTTTTTATTTTTATTTTCCCCAAACTAATAGGTGTTTAGACATTGTGCTTTTATTTTATTTTTTTTCCTTTTATTTCTTTTGTTTATTTTTTAAAGATTTTTATTTATTTATCTGACAGACAGAGATCACAAATAGGCAGAGTAGCAGGCAGAGGGAGAGGGAGAAGCAGGCTCTCCACTGAGCAGGGAGCCTGATGCAGGGCTCGATCCCAGGACCCGGGGATCATGACCTGAGCCGAGGGCAGTCGCTTAACCAACTGAGCCACCTAGGCGCCCTTAAGTAACTTTTTAAAAACAGTATTATAAGCTTGGATGTGGTGATATATTGTACAAAAGCCCTGGGGACTTTTTTCAAATAGGTTTATATATGTCTTATTATTTGGAATAATTCATGGATTAAAATAAAATAAATGAATTATGTTTGAATTTTGGAGTGTTTTGTCACAGGTTTCTTTTATTATTTTAGATACTTTATCAAAGTAATGTATTCATTTCACTGGTTTGTTGTAAGTGAAGCATTAGAAATGCAATATTCTGTGCCCTTTTGAAAGTAAAAAAAAAAACACAATAATCTTCGCATGGTAGTTGAACATGAAAACACAAGTATTCTTTTAAATTATACTTCATAAAATTTTTTATGGGTTGTTGAGAAGGAACTATAGAATAACATAACATAGAATTAATGATGTCAAACTTAGAGCCATGGCAGAGGAAGTAGATAGGTTTTTCTCAATGTAAAAATCAAGAAAATTAATTTCTCACACATTTTGGTGAAAGTGAACTTTGGGTAGGCATTGTAAACCTGCCTAAACTGTCTTGTAATGCTTGTAAAGACTTTGTAAAATATGGAATATTTAATTCAAAAATATGCATTTATTATATTACTGATTGAACATATCTTAATGGAAATGAGGTTGTGAGCTTTTCTTGTGGAAAAAAAAATAAAATCACACTCATCTTGATGTTATATTGTAAATATGTGAATATGATGATTAAGGCTGAGATAATTTACCTATTAAGAAGTCTAATGACACACTTGTCCTACTGTGACAACTGAAAAATGAGGCGGATCAGGGAGATCCAGAACACTGAAGGCACATTCAGTGATTAAGGGATCTAGCAGGATAGATAAAGAATTGACATAAGTATATATACATTTGTTTGGAAAACTGGTGAAGTCTTTCTCACACTTCTTAATAAAGAAAGAAGGTTGATGATCTTTGATAACAACAAAAAGCTACTTTTGCTGACACCTAGAACTCTTACAAGATTGAAGTATTACCATTTTACACTTATTGTTACAGTATTAAAATTCAAACTTCAAGATGCCTTATTCTTTTTTTATTAACATATTTTTTACTCCTTTTTTGTTTATTTTTATTTTTTATTAATTTTTAACTAATATATAAGGTGCCTTTATTATTTCAAACGGAAGATACTGTATCCATGTTTATAATAAAAACTGAATGTCTATATTTTATTACTTTTAAACACATTAGCAAATATAGAAAATTGAGTTATTTAAAAATTGAATAACTTAACCTAAAAATGCTGTTGAATATATTTTTTCTTTTTTAAAGATTTTATCCATTTATTTTACAAACAGAGATCACAAGGAGGCAGAGAGGCAGGCAGAGAGAGAGGAAGGGAAGCAGGCTCCCTGCCAAGCAAAGAGCCCGATGTGGGGCTCGATCCCAGGACCCTGGGATCATGACCTGTAACCCACTGAGTCACCCAGGCACCCCAAATGCTGTTGAATATTTAAAAAACTTGTCTGGTGATGTCCTAACCAAGCTAGAAGGAGCCTGGGAACAATGTACATCTTGAAATAGAGCAATGCATTTGTCAAGTAACGGGAGCCGTCAGCACTCGTGAAGCTGAATTGCCCCTTTTCCTTGACTAAGTTGCTGTTGCTCACATAGGAAATTTCCACTTATTTCAACCATTTTTTTTCTTTAGCTCCTTTCCTGAACTTTAACCAATCTTTTCTTATCCTACTTGATTACCTTTTTATGGATTTTAAGAAGGTTTTTAAGATTCTTTGAAAGACATTAATAGGAAGATAAAAACTAGACAAGATGCTTGATTCATCATAGTGACTTGACTTTTCAGAAGTCTTCAAATGCTAAATACACAATCTCTCCAAGATATAGAATTCTTTACTGATTATCATCTCCACTTTAGTAGGTGGAAAAGAGGACTGATTAGATTATTAGAAAATCTGTGTATGCAATTAAGCCCCATTCTTTAATGGTGCCTGTCGTGATAGAAAAAATGGCCCAGCCACTAAGTGTTGAGTTCAGGCTTCAGCTATTTCAGTATCCAAAAATGTCTTCCATATAAAGTAAATATCTCAATGATGCATCAAGGAGAGGAGAAATGGAAACACAGAGAGTTTTTTCTTTCTCCTAAATATTGTGTCTACTTCATCCCTGTATAGCCAAATGAGATGGAATGGAAACGAGGCCATAGGTTTGTCCCTGCATTTGGAAAACTAATCAATCGCAGGTATTGAATATCCTACCATTTATGAGGAAAAAATTTAAACTTTGCCAGTTTTTACTAATTTTTTTTCTCTCTTTTTCTCTCTCCATAGACCACCACTTTGCAAATACAATTTTGTACTTGATGAAAATGTGGAAGTATTTCTCAATCTACGCACATGCTCATCAAAGGAAATATAAAATGCTCTCTTCCGTCGAATATAAAAACTTGTTTGTGAATTAAAGAACTTGTAAATGGGATCAATGCATTCTTTTAGATCAATCTGGGATTCAGATATTTCTACTTCCTGAAAAAAGTTTTAAAATAAAAAAATATAGGAAACTATTAAAGTGCATATAATAAAACATTCTGAATATATTCTTTTTTTTTTTTTTAAAGATTTTATCTATTTTTTTTAGAGAGGTTTAGCTCAAGCAGAGGGAGGGGCAGGGGAGGGGCAAGCGACTCCTACTGAGTGCAGAGCCGGGGCTTGATCCCATAACCCTGAGCCATGACCTCAACCAAAATCAAGAGTCAGATGATTGACCATCTAAGCCACTCAGGTGCCTCACATTCTGAATGTATTCCAAAAGCTGTTTATTGCTGTTTACCTCAAATGTTTGTCATTGAGTATTTCCCATAATTACTTATTATTAACAGATACTATGTTTTTAGAAAAAAAGAGAAACGTGTTGCTTCAGTACTGTCTAAATAGTATTATTCTCTACATCTCAGACTGCAGTAGTAAAATAAGTGAATATATATATATATATATATATATATATATTTATTTATTTAAAAGATTTTATTTAGTTAGTTGAGAGAGAAAGCAAGGGAGAACATGAGAGGGGAGAAGGTCAGAGGGAGAAGCAGACTCCCCATGGAGCTGGGAGCTTGATGCAGGACTGGATCCAGGGACTCCAGGATTATGACTAAGCAGAAGGCAGTCGCCTAACCAGCTGAGCCACCCAGGCACCGTATGCTTTTAATTGTAAATTTGTCACTTGGGAGAAGTCACTTGGGTTAATGTAAATCTTGTGAACATAAATATAACTTCTGTTTAGTGCTCCATTTGATCTATTTGGCTTAAGGTCAGATCTTGGGTCCACTTAATGGTGGTGTGAACTTGAGTGGCTAATCTTACCTCACCATGTCTCAGTCAATCTAAGAATTTTTATGATGATTGAGTCAATATTTTGACTAGTGTCTGCCTGTAATGATAATAATAAAAATACTGATAGCTAACCCATAAATCACTCACTGTCTTTCTACACAGTTTATTAACACACATATATATATCAATTCATTTAATCCTTAAAAGACCCCGTGAGGTTGGCCTTGCTACTTCCACTGATGAAGAAATTGAAGGATTCCTGGGTCTCAGCTCTCTCTCACCTGAGTCTGAATACTCCCAAGGTTTGTTTCATGTATGTTTCTAAAGCAGTCTGTCCATTACAGCCACAGTCTCTCTGCTTTTGACTTCCTGCCGTATTAGTTTGCAGGGCTTCCATAATGAAATACTACTGAAAGTGTGACTTAAACAACATAAATTTATTTTCTCATAGTTCTGGAGGCCTTAAGTCTAAGATCAAGGTGTCAGTAGGCTTGCTTTCTTCGATGGCCTTTCTCCTTGACTTGCAGAGGCTACCTTCTTGCTGTATCCTACATGCATGGCCTTTTGTCTGTGCATGGTGTCTCTTTCATGTATCTAAATTTCCTCTTCCTATAAAGTCACCAGTCAGATTGGGCGAGAGCCCACCCCAATGGACTCAATTTTAATTTAGTCACTTCTTTAAAGATCCCCATCTCCAATTATAGTCACATTCTGAGGTACTGGGGGTTAGGGCTTCAGTATATGAATGGGGGGGGGGCACAGTTCAGTCTACAATGACTGCCATGACTCAGTTCCACAACGATGACTTTAACCTCCTAAGTCTTTTGATGGCCAATTGGGGCCATTGTGTGAAGACCCTTGAAGTATTAGATGTGTGTTCCAGACAGAAATAAGTAGAAGTTTCCTCACTTTTTTGTCTAGGGATCCGATTAGTGCAGCCTGTACCCCAGACTGTCCTACAGTCCTTGACCACAGTTCCTTCAGTGTCTGTTCTAGCCTTCACTCCACGGGCCTCGACTCAAGTCTGCAGAGACCCCCGCTCTCTACTCTGTCAGGTAAGCATTTGCTCACAAACTTCCCACGTTCTTTTTTTTTTTTTTTTTTTTAAAGATTTTATTTATTTGACAGACAGAGATCACAAGTATGCAGAGAGAGAGGAAGGGAAGCAGGCTCCCCGCTGAGCAGAGAGCCCAATGCAGGGCTCGATCCCAGGACCCTGGGATCATGACCTGAGCCGAAGGCAGCGGCTTTAACCCACTGAGCCACCCAGGCACCCGCAGATTCCCACATTCTTAAACAAAACCACAAACCCTCATGCAATTTCACTTTTCTAATCCCCTCTAATTATTTTTCCAGATAGCCCCAGCAACTTATGAGTCTCATTTTGTGATATTAATGACATTTAAAATTAAATAAAATGCACTATAGATACATTATGAGGAGCAGAAATTCTGTTCCAGTGTTCCTGGTTGCTTAGGGTCTCTAGGTAATTGGGATACTTATAGCATATTAATGGGTCCTGCAACCCTCATAATAAAACTTCCTTGCCATAAGATCTTCCAAGGATAACTTGAAGACATAAACTTGCAAAATGTTTAGAAGTTTCCAGATTGCAGTAACTTCTCGAGAATCCTAATTCTTCCCCCCCTCTTTTTTTGAGATAAAAGAAGATAAAAGAAGAAGGCTTTGACTCCTCTAACTTCAAGTTCATAGTCTTCAAACAATATTTTAATCATATTTTTTAATTTGTGGAAATCATAGATCAAAAATAAAAGGGGGTAAAATGCACTTGTTTGGAGGATCATAATGAGGCACAAGTTTCAACAACAATTACCTGAGACAACAAGAGGTACACACAGATTATTATGCCCAAAATACGTTATGCCAGGCTGCTTTAACGACACACTGTTCTGGAATAGATAGTAAAGGAAGCAGGAAGGTGAGATGTTTAGATTCTCTATCTTTCAGAATGCCTACTCGGCATGCATCACAGAATCAGACTTAACTTTGTCTTTCAAAGTCCTCTCAACCACATAGCTTTATTATTTTTAGGCTGATTTTAGGATTTTTCTAATTAAATATTGTATTACTGTTTTACTGATTTGCCTGTTTTGTGTTTCCATGGCATAATAAGCTTTATATTTAAAAAAATACTCCTCTCTCTCTGCCTGCCTCTCTGCCTACTTGTGATCTCTCTGTCAAATAAATAAATAAAATCTTAAAAAAAAAAAAATCACCAGTAAACCAACATGTTATACCTTGGTTCCCACAATAGTTGACTGAAATGACAAGCAAGTATAATCCTAGATTTTGTTTAATAAACTATACACTTAAAAAAACCCAAATTGCATCATTTATAAGCTGTAAAACCATTCTGATGTACTGGATAATTGTTTAAATTGTGTGTATGTGTGGCCACAATAGACAAGGTACAATTATAAGAATATTTTAATTAGTTATATTCATAAAATTGTTGTTGTGGGTCATAACATTTTTTATATTTTTAAAAAATTATTTTTATTAACATATAATGTATTATTTGCCCCAGGGGTACAGGTCTGTGAATCATCAGTCTTATACATTTCACAGCACTCACCATAGCATATACCCTCCCCAATGTCCATTATCCAGCAGCCCTCTCCCTACCCCCCACCCCCCAGCAACCCTCAGTTTGTTTTGTGAGATTAAGAGTCTCTTAATGGTTTGTCTCCCTCCCAATCCCAACTTGTTTCATTTTTTTCCTCTACCTCCCACAACCCCCCCACCCTGCCTCTCAAATCCCCCATATCAGAGAGATCATATGATAATTGCCTTTCTCTGATCCACTTATTTTGCCCAGCATAATACCCTCTAGTTCCATCCACATCATTGCAAATGGCAAGATTTTGTTTCTTTTGATGGCTGCATAGTATTCCAGTGTGTGTGTGTGTGTGTGTGTATAGATATATATATACCACATCTTCTTTATCCATTCATCTGTTGATGGACATCTAGGTTCTTTCCATAGTTTGTCTATTGTGGACATTGCTGCTATCAATGTTTGGTGCACATGCCCCTTCGGATCACTACATTTGTATCTTTAGGGTAAATAGTGGGCCATAACATTTATGGCCTATGTATTAATGCTGTTTTTTGATGTTATTATAATATTAATAGCAAATACACAATGCATATTTACTATGAACCAGTCTGTGATTGACTTATTGATTGATTGATTGATAGTAAGCTCCAAGCCCAAGGTAGGGCTTGAACTTAAGATCACAAGGTCAAGAGTCACATGCTTTACCATGATCACAAGGTTAAGAGTCACATGCTTTACCGCCTGAGGCAGTCAGGTGCCCCACCAGTCTGTTTTAAGTCCTTGATTCGCACTATTTCACTTAGTACTTAAAAATGCCCTGTAAGTTAGATACTTTTATTACCTTCAGTGACCACGGGGAGTAAATGAGCAAAAGGAAAGCCTTTAATTAATTGACAATACTGGAAAGATATGTTCATTGTTTATTGTCTGTTGAGTCTGTAACAGGCATTAGGCAAATGTTTGAGGACAAGTTAGTGGATGGACGTGTGAACAGGAAGTCACCGGAAGTCACTGGAGAAGAAGGCATATTCCAAAAAAGAAGAGCCTGACTCAGAAACTGTGATGTGGTTGGTGAGTGCCTGCCAGCTGCCAAGGGTCTTGTTGAATGTCACGGTTCTAGCAAATTGCCAGGCACATGTGCTGGTTTTCTGAAATATGGTTTTAGGCTCTTAGTATGAAGACCCTGTTAACACTTACCAAATACCTGAGTCCTGCCTCAAGACAATATAGTCTGCTTCTCCAGGCGGCATAAACGACGCTATCAGAGAACATCAGTGGATGACTTTGGAGTTATGAAAATGTAGGACTTCAAAGCACAGATAACATTTTCATTCATAATTTCTTTTTTCCCATGAACATGTGGTACATGAAAAAAAGAAGGAAATATGGGAGGTGAACAGCTGGTTATGCAGATGGTGTTGAATTGAATTTGGATTTCTGTATCATGGCTTAAGTTTCTGGAATGCTAGGCTCTTGGCTAGGGGTAGAATTATTTCTCACAGGGA